CTCTATTTACGCACCTTAAAAACATTTATTGAAAGTTTCATGTTTTTTACACGTTTATTTACAGCCTTAAAAGTGAAGTGTATATTGTAATAGGCTGTAGGCCTATGTTAACTTATTGGGAGAAAACTGGTAGTTCTATGTAAAATCAGAGGTTGAGCACCCCCATATCGCTGACAGTCAGGCCCCGCCCATCGAATCTTTAACTATTCGGGTCAGCCCTATAATCTGAAATTTTATATTGAAAGCAATTAATATTGGTTTGAAATAAAAATGATCCCCTAAAGAAAAGAAAACTGCCACTGGCAAATTATTATTATTTTTTCTTAAAGAATGATTAATTAAGAATTATTTATCATAAAAAAAAAAACGTTACCTCATCATTTTCTGTCAATCAACTAATTGACCAATTGTTTTGTTTTGGCTTTAAATGTGTCTCTTGCAAGTCCCCCAAGAGACTTGGTAGTTCAGGAGTCCCCCTTTATGGGAAATAAAATAATTTAATGCTAGATGGGGAAGATTCCGAAAACAAAGGCAGCAACACAGCCCTGATATTTAATTTCAATTCATTTTAATTATATAGCGCCAATTCATAAGAATACGTGTGTATGTATACATTCATTCAGCAGTCACAGAGCAGCACAACCATCTTAGTTTTCACGTGACGTCACATTCCAAGGAAAACGCTCCCTTGGAGGGCAAAAAAGACGTTATTTTCTGCTGCCTGCCAACCAATATGCAAGTGATGCACTGTTACTTTGAGTTTGTTACTTTTTGCGTTGCCAAAATGCTGGATGGTTGTTGTGCTTTCGGATTTAAGCCTACTAATGGAGGAGGAGACAAGGCTGTGTTAGGTGAGGGATTCCCCAGAAGGTAAAAGTAAACATTACTGCAGTTGAGCGGTGGCAGAGATCTGGCGGTTTTTAACGGTAGAAATGCGGCAGCAGATGCTGTAATGTTATATGGATCAGTAGTGCACAACACTTACAGTTTGTGTGCATATCTTTCTTTTTCTTAAGTTGAAAGGTGATCCAAATAAAATCTGTTGTGGTGTTGGTCCGTTGTTTTGCCCTCCAGGTCACCACGCATGTCCTGGCGCTCATACCTCATAAAATGATCTTAAAGCATTACATTCTGTCCTTTTGCTGCATTTATGAGGCCAGAAAACTTGTAGAGAATGTGAGAATAGTCCTGTAAAGTTACATATGTGTATATGAGGATAAAAGTCTGTCAGTTAATTGTGAAAGAACTCAGGGCGTGAGGGCTCTGTTTCATGAGGACATCTCCCACTACAGTTCTCTTTTATTCAAAATTTCCTGAACTGAGCATTGAGATGACAAGACTGAAAATTACTACTTGTTCTGTGTCTTTTAATGAGTTGTATAATGCTCAAACACGTTTTATTTATATTACATTTAATAGAACGATCACAAGCAGTGCTCCAATCTCCACGCAACACCTGAGAGAGAGTCATGGGGTTTCTCTTGACTGTTTTTCCGTTTGAGACCCATGGCATTTTAAAAGCAATTTGACCCCCGCCTGGCCCTGCCACTTAATCTCAGTGGGCTTGTCTGTAGCTGAAAATGTCCTCCCTGAGCCCTAGAGGCACAGCTCCGGCCACTCAGACTAGCTGCAATCACAGGCTACTGGCTGGGGCAATTACAAAAACACCCTGGACCCAGGCTGAATTTTCATCTTATCTATCCAAATGTCAACCTCCTGCTTATTAGCTATCATCATGCTGCTGCCAATCATGGTGAAAGAGATTAGAGTTTTCGTCAGCAGCCACACCCCAACATGCCTACCTCCCACTGAGTCTGATTCTCTCTCGTCTTATTTTCTCTCTTCAAATAGCCCTTATTTATCTTTTCTATTCAGCATGGCTTAGTTAGTCTCATTATTTTTGTTTTCTGCAGTTCTGCAATTTGATGCTGAGAATTATTGAATGAATGATTATTACCATTTTTACACTGATGTAGTGATGTCCGGTACCTTGTGTGTTGCATTTTATCAAATCAGAATTCAGTACTGAATCTGCTTATTGAATCCCTCAGCAATTTTTTATCATGTTCAGCTTTCAACATTGAGAGTAACTAGAACTAAAAGATCTCTAATCAACTTGTGTCAACTGAGAAGATAGGAAAAGTTTAGAGTGTCCGCCTAATTAATGCTGACAACCTGTAGCAAAAACATGAAAATGAGCTGAGCAGCATAAGACCGGACATGTTGATAAATTGATTACCGTGCCAATCTGATGCGCATGCATGACACAATTTACCTAGAACTTTTCTCTAGTGAAGAGTTGCCTATCTGGCATGCAGACAGCACATTGACCAGTAAACAGCCAAAAGTTTCATTTTAGCTGTTATGGCATTAACAGACACAATCTCCACATTTAAGAGTAGACTTTCCTCTAACTCGACTTCTTCCCTCTCCCGTTTTTTTGTGCTTTCTTGTTTATCTCTAAGAGGTACATAAAATCTTATGAAGAGAAGAATTTTTTTGTCATCTGGTTGTTGGTCAGATTTGCAACAGTGAAATCTAATAGTTGCCAGCTATTAAATAATTGGAAACAATTACACCTTGAATGGGAACTAGTTTTGTGTAGTGCATTTCATAATACTTTAATGATCTAGTTTAAAGGCGGCCTAAGAGATAGTGGTTAATCCCTAAACATAGTGTGTACAACAGTAGTACAGTGTTGGAGTAACACCTTAAAAAAAGTAATGCAATTGCACTAATGTGTTGCTTTTTCCTGTAACACAGTAATATAACTACTACTAATAAAATTTCTGCGAAACATTTCAGCACCAGAAAAACAAGTCCGTGAGTAAAAGAGCACCGTTATTTCCTGTTACTAGAATTCGATGCTTGAGACTGTAGGCAGGGTGCAAACTACGGGGGAGCTCGGCTGCTCTTAATAAGACAGTAGCTCCCCTGAAAACATGATTTGTGAAATATTAACAACATGCTATTTTTGCCATGCATTTCTATTTGTCTGTATCTTTATTATCATGGATCATGCGTAAATAGAATTCTGTGTGTTTAACGATTTCCTTTCATGGTCAGAGAGGCTGCTGTCAGTGCATTCTGACCAATCCTGTCGGAGTACCGGGATATTTAAATAATCAATGAAGTTATGCTGCTGTACCTTGTTGCATATTTCTTAATGTGAAGACAATTCATCCTATTTCACCCGTCCACAGTGGTTTGAACCATGTTACTTTGAAACAACATAGTTCGAACTACAATGTTTCCAGATGTGTTCGGACTGACTTTCACAGCGAGAAACTTGCAAAACACTGAACAACAAACTGTCTCATATTAAGCCTGAATATGACAGTTGGCTGTACCAGCAATAACAAGTAACAGTAAAATAACAATATAAAAATATATATCGCCTAATCCTTTTATTTAATATAACTTTTTTATAGCAATAGCAACTTTTTAAAAGAAAAAATGAAGAACTATTAGAGATTACAAAACATTAAGTAAAATAGGTTTAATCTCTAAATAGCTTCTTTTCAACACTATTATGAATAAAACCTGGCCCACCAGTGTCCATCAAGGCTTGAGAAGAGCTCAGTGGCATAGATGGGTGAGCTTGTCAGAGTAATTCAATAACTAAACAAAGGTTCAAATCCCGTGAGTTCTCTTTTTTTCTCTCTGAAATAATGGTAACAAAAGCTCTCAGGGATTAATTCATTACAGTACTTTAATAAGTTTTTTATATATATTTGTAATGAAGAGTAGAGAACACCCATCTTCTTCATAGCCTAGAAATTTACACACATACACATAAAGGGAATATTAAAAGTCTTTTTCATTCTCTGTTTTGTCATTTGACCTTACTCACATTACAACCAGCTCCTGATTGACTCCTTAGACTACCTCTTCTGCTATCTATGACGTAGACACTCTGAATTAAGCTTCTAACCACAGGTCAGGAGCACTAGTTCAAACTGTTGACTTTACGACAGTGGCTGCGAATGTTTGTCGGAGCTGTGGTTTTGGGTAACACATGTCAGTAACCAACGTAGTTACATCCATAGTTCGAACTAGGGTTTTTGGAAACGGTTGCGTCACAACTCCATCTTTCCAACCATGGAAGTTGGTACTGTAGTTAGCAACAATGCTTTTTGGAAACGCACCCCTGGATTGGCACACTTGAAGGCGGGGTGAAAAGCCTGCTGTCATAGAGAGGGGTAAGGCACTTGGTTGTTTGCATGAAAAGTAGCAGAAGTGGTTGTGTGGAGAATTAAAGAAAGACCTGACCAACCACTGATAGTTGCATGATGAGTGCTTGGCCTCAGCCTATCGCCAGTGTTACACTGTATTCTGTGTCCTGTAGCAGTGCAATGACCATTTGTCCTTTGGGTAACATTAAGTGGAAAAAAAAGTGAAATCTGCAATTTATTTAGGTGATATTTGTTAAATGATGAAGGAGAATTCATATTATTTCCACTGTGTTTAGCCTCTGCAGCTGTAGCACAGCCCCCAGTGAGGAGCTAACACTTACTGCAAAAGGAAAAATTAGTCTAGTCACGGTTAATGAATCTCCCATAGCAGTGATAAAATATGTGGTGAAAAGCCCCACATCCTTTCAGCACAGTAGAATTTCACTGGTTTAGTTATGATACTGAGTGGAATAAAACAATAAATATTTTAACTACGATGTCTTCATTCCCCACCAGAAAAACTACCTAAAAAGATTTGATAAGCATCTTTCGATAAGACGTTCGATAAGGTCGGTAAACGGATTCGGAATTTGATTCAGATTTGATAAAATGATGATGATGAATTGATCCTCATCCCTAGTCACGTGGTTTGGAAACTTTAAATGGCCAATAGACTCAAACAGTCTCTCTGTCTCTGTGTTAGATGTGAGATGTGTCCCAGGTATCTAAATGCATGCTGGGAAAGCCATCAGCTTCCCTGCCGCCCAGACAAGCAGCTAAAGATATTGATTGTGCATTTCTGTCTGTTCCTCCCTCGTCTCACAGGGAGGTGGTACATCCGTGAGGGCTGGCTGAAGATGGTTCCTCCTAAAGGTGCAGACGCTAAGCCAAAGATGTTCTTCCTGTTCTCTGACATGCTGCTGCAGGCCAAGCGCTGCAGCCCACTGCGAACCACCAGCGGAGACAAGTTTACTGGCCAGCACGCCTACCCCCTGCAGGACTGCACGGTGGAGAAGGTGTTTGGCCACACCAGGAGCCAGGGAGGCCTGCTCAGCGTGAGTGCCAGCCAGCTAGCCTCATAACTACCTACCTAAGTGTTGTTCATGTGACAAGTTTCTTTCCAGAACATTAAAGGGATCAGGGAGTTTCTGGGATTCTGTGAAATATTTTGTTTGATAGTGTTCAGCACAGTGGGAGTAGAAAACAGACTGAAAAATAACAGTAGAAAACCAGCAAGGAAATAAATTAATTAATGGAGTACTGACTTATTTATGAACAGTAGCTGAAAATTCATATTAGAAGAAAGAACTATACATAAGGAATACAGCAGGAAACTTTTCTAGCATTCGGTTTTGTTCTATGTATTCTCCAGATCTTTTTTACAATACTTTCATACCCATGTATATGTTGAAAGAGTTATTGGGCCTCCTGTCTATACTAGCCGCAAAGTTATTCCCTCATAGTGCAACTGCAGTGTAAGAGATGGAAGTCTCAGTCTGTGCAAAGATTTATTCCACAGCTGAAGCCTCGTAGCTGACATCCTGGATGTTGCAGGTTGGTTTGTTGCAGGTACAAAACACAGACAACCTACACACGTCTGCCAGGATGAAGATACCCACTCGGTTTGTCTTATTCAGGCTGATACGGCTTCATCTTAGCATCAGCTCGACTTTGGAATACACAAGCGGACTGTGTATTTTATCGAGCATCTGTTACAGTGTGGTCACTCTACGGTGGGATCTGAAGGAATAAAATATAAAAGTACTGTATTAAAATAGACTTGAAATTAGTCTTTGTCTCTCCAATAAATATAATCAACATAACACAATAGAAATAGTAATAAACACAACATGCATCACAAATCAGCAGCAGCAGCATGCGGATATGTTAATGCTGTTTAATCCTATATATACCTTGTTTTTTATAGGTACTACTCATTTTAGAGAACGCATATTTTGATTTGCCACAGTCAAATTATCTTACGGATTCATAAAGTTAAGTCAGCGAATATCACCGAGCTTTCAGTTTTATTGTACATATCATCCTGCTATGTAGGGCCATCCACACTAATTGATACAGGATTTGAGATTTTCTGTTAAAATAGAAATGCTCAGTGTTTGTTGGGCAGCAGGTGGGGGAGACATCTGTTCATTGATTTGAGTATACACATGACTGAGTCCTTAGCAGAGGCATTATTTAATTTTCACTTTTGATGTGTGTTGCTTTGATTCGTCTTACATGTGGCCTTGATGCTCACTAATCTGCCAAACAGAGATTTCCTGAATGTTTTCCATTTTGAATGAAAATGTCACTTAGTCTTGCTTGCCGGAGAAGACCTGTGTTCCCTCACCTCTTCTCCCTCCTCACATTGTTGATGTAGCCCAAAAGTTGAACTTTTAATGTGTCTCGTTTTTCAGTCTGATCCATCAGCTGCTGGCTGACAAATTGTGTCTAAATGATGTAGTTGCTGTCATGAAACATTCAAAGGAACAAGTCGCGCGTCATTGAGTGAGTAACCAAAGCGTTTATGCAGCGAGAGTTTAGTGCCAATGCTGCATGGCATCAATATTCATTTCAGCAGATAAGCTCTCGCTCAGAGCTCTTTATGTTGTGCTGTTAATGTGCTTCCCTGTGATGCACAGCGGTGTGTAGAGGTTTGATTACTCTACTGTCTGCTCACACTGCTGTCTGTCCAAAATGTTGGCAGCATTTGATGCAATTTGACATCAACACTTGAGTCACACAGGGACTCGTAGTACACAGTAGGGCTGAGACAATTAGTGGCTTAATAAAACTAGACAGAAAATTAACCGATAATAATTCAGTAAGTGATTTTTTTTATTTATTAGGGAAAAAGAAACCAATGATATCAAACTGAGAAATGTGGCAGATTTAAGAAGCACAGTAACTATTTTTCACCTTTGATATGTGTTTTAGCTGTTTAGCAGAGTAAGAGTCACTTCAATTGGACTATGTGATCATTTCCATTATCAATTAACCTCTTGTCCATTTTTGCTATTAATCAAAAATCATTTAGTCTATCGAATGTCAAAAAAAAAGAAAAATGTTCTTCACAAGTTCTAACAACCTAAGGTAATATTTTTAAATGTCTTGTTGTGTCTGACCAACAGCTCAAAACCTAAAGATATTCACTTCACCATGATATAAAGCAAATCCTCACATTATAGAAGATGAAACCAGAGTTTGCCATATTTGCTTGACGGCTGTAATAATTAATAAATTATCAAAATTGCTGCCAATACATTTTCTGTCTATCTACAAAATAATTGATTAGCTTCTTGTTTCAGCTGGAACTTTAAAATGCTGTGGGGTGTGGGTGAGATGGGCACATATACACTGAATGAATCGCTGGTTTCAAAATTATGATAGAAACATAGAATGGATAATCCCTTAAATTTCAAAAAGTTCAATTCCATCACAAGTCACCTGCTATATTTCCCTTAACATAGAGAACATGTGATGATATCAGTCTCGTGTGGATCAACATCTCAGTCATTTTGACAATGGAGAAAAATATAAACATGTTTTTTCATAAAGCCCTTTAAATTAATTTAACAAAACAAGAATTTCACATTTGAAATGCTGTTTAAACACAAACAGCTGTACAAGAAATTAGCCTGAGCAAAATTAGGGTTGCAACTAACAATTATTTATTATTGTTTAATCTGTTTATTATTTTGACTATTCCTAATCAATTATCTATAAAATGCTTCCTGGCATGTTGAGCTGTTCATGCCATAACCTAGAGATTCTGTTTACTATAATATACATGCAGTACATTTTAGGCTGACAAATCACTTTATTATTTCGGTGTCATTACTATTGATGATTAATGACTAATCAATTAAAGCCAGCTAAATAAAAAATAGTTTTAACATTTGACCAGGCATTTAATACCACTTTTTTATACTCAACAGCACTCAGTGCTACACACACATTTTGGTCAACACAATAAAAGTGTTGCCCCAAAAGTGTTGCCCCAAAACTGAACAGTAAGAGCTTCCATAGCTTGTTGCTGCAAATGTTCTTGGTTTACCTGCCTGATCAGCCTTTATGATCCACAGCCATTCGGTAGAGTCTGGAGAAACAAAGGGAACTGTATCATTAGGATGTGGGTGAAATATAAAATGAATGTCTTCTGTGAGAATGTGCAGGTAATCCTGGTAGTACATAAAAGACTACAGAGTACCCGGCTTGTGTGTTGCTGTAAGATCCTCTTGGCAGGCCCAGGGACGTATTGTCATGATTTGTTGAAGGCAGTGTGAATTAAAAGCATCCTTCAAAGGACTAATGAAAAGGCTGCTGATGGGTAGATTAGTCAGAGCTGTATTATTTGGAGTGTGCGTGTAGCCTGTGTTGCGAGCTGGGGAGCGTAGTGATGGCTGCCTGCTGTAACAGAATATCTCAGTTGCTGGATCAGATTAGGCTGCAGATCCATCTCTTCCGGCCCTCCAGTAAATACATCTTCCTCAAGCCTGTCGCCGCTCTCCGCCGGCCCACTGCACGTTATCTAATGGCAGAAATGGCATTTCATTAGCCTCTTATCCCACCGAGGCCCAAATGCATACTCAATAGCATTACACGTAATTTCTCATAAGGACACATTATTGATCCCGGGCCCCAACCTGAGCTAAAGGAAAAGGGCTGTCAGCACTCCAGGGCCCTCCTCATCCATGGCCATGAAAAATTAAAGCCAAATTAAATTTGACAGCTGAAAATGCCATGGCAATCTATATGCAAAGTCAAAAAAAAAAATTGCTTTTATTAAAATTGTCGGTGTTTCTTTTTTTTTTTTTTTTTTTTTTTTTTCTTCTTTTTTTCCTGGTCACACATGTTTGTAGAGAGCTGGCTTTTATTTGTGGCTCACCGCACGTTTTTCTCTTCATCTTCTGTCTTCCCTCCGTCTGCCTCGACCTTCCTCGCTCTCTCCTCTCTCGCTGTCTGCCGTCTTCCTCCTGCTAATATCCCCTCGCTACTTGAATATTTTCCCACATCCCTGACAGATTCTCTTTGATGTATAAATAATCAAGCTAAATTATGTGCGGCAATGAGGTTCCGTGCTCTGCCGTTCTTATTATACAAAGTAATTTCTACCTAAGAGGGTCAGATTTCCTGACAAATCCCTAATTACCGCATTGCAATAGAAGAGGAATCTATTTGTGCATAAATCAACCGCCGTCCCCCAAGTGGCGACTGCCTAATATCACGCGGCACTCATTTCGGCCCCACTCACTGAACTCTGTAATTAGATAATACTTTTGATGATGGTACATTTGAAATCTTAATCTATTAAATGTATAATGAGAGCCACTCCCTCGCCCTGTGTAAAAACATCATTATGTTTGATGAGCTATATGTTCTGCTCTGTCCAAATACACATGGCAATGATCGATACAGCACCTCTCAACAAGCTGGTTTCCTGTGTAGAGGCTGCAGCCGTGGGTAAATGTAAAAGGTCATTTAATACGGTAAAGGCCTAATTTTGATCCTCTGTAGCTTTCCCAGTGTAATTATGCTGCACTTAAAGCCCCTTTTGTTTGGGCTTGGACATCTCCCTTTGGTTTGTTTGACAAGTTCAATCCGAGGCTGGTTTTAGCGCTGGATGTGGATGAGAAAGTTGATAATTACTGTTGACTCAAAGGAAGACGACCCTGTCACTTTGTAGACCTGAGAGGAGTCCACAAGAGATCTGAGAACACTTTTCTGTCCAGTTTCAGACGGAACAGAATTTGTTCCTGTAAATGTGACCTGCTTTAAGAAATGATGTTACTTTACTCGGCTTTATTTGCTCTGTGTGTTTTCTTTACCTTCAGATATCCGTCAGTGCTGAGGGCGATGAATGATTGTGAAATGCAGCAGTAGGTTTTCCAGTTTGACTAGCTGAGGTTTTTGCTTGATTTAGCCTGCCCTCTACTGTTTTTATAATGTTACTGCAGTCTGCTGTAGAGAGGCTCCGGTGACTAAAAGATGACCAGGCCATTGAAATACAACTAAAGGTGGATAGATCTACAGTTTTTATGGTTCTCGTGCCTCGTGGAAGATCTGCAGAGCTGTAATGCATCTTCTAAATCATCTAATCTGAAAACTGACAAAATGTCCTGGAAAACTATGATTTGTCATGGAAACTGTTTTAATGTGGGAAAAAGTCCAATTTCCTTGCAACACTTTCAGATGAAAAGACTTTTTTACTGAAATGACTAAATGTTGCTGAAGAACAGACTTTACCTTCCCCACCCATTTTAAATATTTAGTACTTGTTCCTGTTAACTCTATGTTTCTAAATGAAGTTTAAAGGGCTGATAAGTTTAAAAGTGTACCAGAATGGAAAGTCCATGTGCAGATCTAGAAAACTGTTTTCCCTAATCTCAGGCTCAGATCACCACAAATGAACACTGAAACTTTAGGAAACACTGGAGACTGTTTTTCACTGATAATCACTGCTAAAGGCTGCCACAAATGTGCAAACTTCAGATCCAACCTATTGATTAACCTTAAAATCTGAAACTTGCCATATCTGGCTGATAAAGTGAGACTACAGCTTTGAGGATTTCATTGGTCTTGTCTATATATATATATATATATATATATATATATATATATATATATAATATAGAACAGTTATTGTTTCAAGAGGTGTAGATGGTGCACGTTACATGGACAAAAATGAGCATAGAAACAAATTTGTCAAACAAATCTTCAGTTTTAATACGACTGTCCTTTTATCCAGTACCCATTCCGTCACATCACAGGATCTGGTGTAAGGAGACCATCAGATTTGAGTTGAACCAAACAACATGTTAGTACAGGGAACAGGGAGAAGTGGAAATATGAACAAGCAAATCTAACTTAAAGACTCATTCAGTGCCAAGAAACACAAAGCCTTTTTAACAGGTAATCACAGCAGCAGGTTTCTCCGAATGAGTTCAACAGGGAACTAGCAAACCTGGATCAACAGCACCCACTGTCTGCACCGACACATAAGTCTCTATTGTCAGTGTGACAGGGACAAACCAGTACCTCAAACCCGCCAAAACACCTCATACACACTCATAGTGCCAACATCCTAACGACTCCTCTACATCCTCTTCCCCCAGTTAACCTTCCCCAAAGCCAAACTCCTGCTGATGTCCAGCAACCAGGAGGATCTCAATGACTGGTACCAAAGTCTGAGCTCAGCTATCAGGTATGTTAGACGAAGACACGCACGCACGCACCTTAACCTTAACCATGAAAAATGTATACCTAACCCTTATCCTGGACTGAACCTAAACCCAGTTCTAACCAGGACTGGCCAACATTTTCTCAGACGTACAAGAACACACACACACAGGGTGTCTCTGAGTCTTTTATGAGATCTACGAAATCAATTGGTGCCATGTGTTTTTAAAACTGAATTTACAATGTTAATACTCATTTTTTTCATTGGAGTGTACTTTAATAGAAAAGTTGCTGACTGCTTTAAACACATGACAAAGCCCTTAACTCTGACAGCCCCAATTTAGAACAGTTGATACTATTCTAAAAATAAACTTGTGATCTTCTCCTTCAATTCCGCCTTAAGTTTCTTTAAATTTAGAGAACACAACTTGTTTCCACGCTGTATGACACTGTATGATGGCACATTGCAGTGCTTTGTATTCTGTATTTGTGTCTGTGCGAGTGTATTCTTTAAATGATGTGTTATAATGTAAATATTCTGTTCTGTATTTAATGCAGAGTGTAAAGTATTCAAACCCAATATACCACACATGTTATGCCACTTTATGTTATGTTTTTAGCAAACATTACTCAAACAGGAAGAAACGGGGCATTTGTTGGGGACTGTTTTCAGCGGCGGGTCGATCCCATTTGGTGCTCTAGTGAGATTTTGCCGCAGCAGGACAGTGTATGTGGGACTGAGTCAAAATAAACTACAGCGTGTGTTACCCGGTGCAACGGTGGCTAGTGTGTTTTCGTAGTTTTTGGACAATATTTCTATGGCACATAGGAGTAAGATACACCAATGCAAGGATCGGTTCATTGTTGGTTTGCGTCTTGATATGAGATTTATTAACAAGAAGAAAAATATAGAAAATCTCCGGACTTAATGTATTCTCATTGTTTGTCTTCCTGTTTCTTATTACCTGTTGAAAAGCTTCCACCTGTATTTAATAAAATAATGAATTTAATAGAAAGGGATGAGTATTAGGTGTGTGGGCAGGGGTTTGATTGTCCGTCAGCATCAGTGTCAGTAGGTGGAGAATGACTCTCAGTAAAACTTTGAACACAGACTGGTAGTGTACCTCAGGCCTGTCTGTCTCTCAGACAGCCTCTCAGCATTAATCAGCTAGACCTCAGTAACTCCACTCTCAGCCCGCCTGGCCCCGGCTCCCCAGAGTAGGGTCCGGGTCAGCCCTGCTATGTGGAGGGGCCAGCTATGCCGAGGGCCCCGACCTCGGCATGCCTGGCCAGGCTAATTAGTTTATCACTTTGTCAGAGAGGAGAGAGAGGAGGCTGTCAAAGAGCTCAGACCACCCAGCAGATGGGGGCTGAGGCTGCAGGCTGACGGCTCTAAACTCCAGGGATTGTAATTAGCTGTGGTGAAGGACCAAGGAGAGGACAGGCTTAGAGGATCAGGGGTCAGCGGTGCTCACACCACTGGGGAGGGCTGAGGGCTGTGTGTCTGTGTGTGTCTGTCTGCACATAGCAGAATTATTGATTCACACACTGCCTGGACTGTCATCTCTGAATCTGTCAGTTGTTGCTCTCAGTGATTATCAAAAATGTATTGTTTTCTTTGGTTAAGTCGTATCAGCTCGGTAGCTGTTGTTTCAATGCTTTCACTGTTTTTGATGTACTTCAACATTACAAAAAACAGCTAACAGCTGTGAAAGTTGTGAGAGGATGTCCCGGACAGATGAGAGGTTTGATGTCAATATATTCATAAATGAGCAAGCTGTTAATAACATTACGATGTGCATTATTAATTGATTATATTAACTTCTTATTTTTTTTCAGACTCACAGTGTACAGGTGTAAAATTGACAGCTCCCCCTAACTGTGTTTCCCACATATACTTTAGTTGGGCGGGCTGCCCAGGTATATTAACACCTGCCAAAGTATATTTGGCAACCCATTTTAGTTATCTGGTATTAACAAGACATAGACAAGGTGAAAATTTTACATTACAGAACAACCGTGAACACACCAGTGCAGATGTCAGTCAGTACCACATTTGTTTTGAACCACAAGCAGCGCACATGCTGTGTTCAATAAACGCAGCGACTTTACAAAACGGCACCGTCATAACACATACTGCTGATGGAGAAAGTGAACAGAGGCGGGAAGAGGCGGGGCATGCCAAAGCGTTTGCAGTGCGAGACCAGAGGTGTAGGTGTGAGTGAGTATGGGGAAAAGAGAAAGGGAGCAGATTCACATCATGACTAAATACTTAAATAAGGTGGAGATTTGAAATAATGAAATAATCTACTAGAAATGCACTACGTTACACACAGAGCTACCACCAGTTCTGTCCCTCAGAACCACAACACGAGACTGCGGACGTTTCTGTTGTGGTTTCAGTCTCTGTTTCAGAACTTCCTTTCAAGAGCATGCATTCCAATATGACACCAACATTATCTGCAGCATTAAAAATGACAACACACTCTCAATTGAAGCAATTTAAGCGTCATAAAGTGTATTGCAGCGCTGTTGTGTATGAGATCATTAAATTCTACAGATCAACCTACTTGCTAACCTAGTGTGTGTTCTCTTTACAGGAAGCTGCAGCCTAAGACAGAAGTCCGTCAAAGAGATGAGTTGTGCCGCAGACCACTCCATTCAACCGCCAACACACACAGCAGCAGCAACCCCAGCAAGAAGAGAAACATGGTGAGTTACACACACACACAGTGAAGCCGTCAAACTGCTTAACATTTATGGACTTTTAAATTTTTGAGTCGCGACATTCAAGTAGAAAAAGCAAATACAGTGAGGACTGATGTAAATGTTTCACCCCGTGTTCTTTGTTTGAGGGAGTGATGCGTCTGAAATCAGTGGAATCGACTCTCATTTGCTTTTCCCCAAGTTTATGATAATGTTAATAATGAATGTATCCATATATGCAACCCTGATGAAATCGGGACTGAACTTGGTGGTTGTTCCTCTAACAGAAGCATTAATCAGTATCTATATTTTAGCAATGGGATGAAATGACTGTGTGAAATGTAAAAGGTGTCGTAATGCTGAACCCACAGAGATTATCACCACCTCAGCTCTACTGAGCTTTTCACACTCTTTTAGCTCATTTTATTGGATTCCCAGTATTTAGCAGCTAATCACAATTTCTCTGGAGAACATCCCGGAGCTAAGAGGACAGTGAACATTTGACTTCATCAGGTGGACACAAACATGACTCCAAATAAATGATGATGTTGCACTGTGTCTTCTGGATGTGCTAACAGGTTCAGCGTAAAAGCTTAATACAGTGATAAGAAGAAGAAGATATACTTTATAAGGTTGTAAAAAGGTTGTTGTCAGTTTTGCTGGCCCCAAGTGGCCAAACAATCAGTGATTGCAGATAGAAAAAATGATAACAGAGGTGCTCGAAAGACTCTCATCCACTAACTTTCTCAGTCAGCTTCTTATTCTGAGTGATGGAGTACAAAATCAACACAAAATTTATGTTAATTTAATTTAAGTTATGAGTTTAGTTATTATACAACAGACACTCTGTGTTTTTTTTGTTTTGTCTGAGCTGTTCTTACTTGTAGAGTAGAGGCTGACATTTTTCAGGATTCCAGTGGGATGGGTTTTAATCGCGTGACTGGGACAGGACGGGACGGGGGAAAAAAGTAAACGGGAGCCGGCGGGATGGGAATCATAGGCCCACTTTTTATCTATTGATTTTTATAATAGATGGGACAGGTGTGACAATCCACTCTCGTGTCACATTCTAGTTTGAAGTGGGCCCATTTTCAGAGCTTCCATTGGAATAAAAAGTTTCTCTGCCCCTCTCTTCAGATGAGCATTGAGACCAGCGAGCATGCTCAGAAGCCTCCAGTTGAGTGGGAGGGCAGTCCCCCAAAGAAGATGAAGAAGTCTGACGCTCCAGAGCAGAGGTGGGATCATTTTAGTGTTTTTTTTGGTCTTGGGTTCCTGGTCTACCGGCAGTTCCCCTTCCACTCAAAAATGTGTTATGCTTATTGTTACTTCAGTTTGGATTGTTGAACTCCACCGAGCAGAATGGCTACAGATCCATATATATTTGGACAGGTTTTGTTATTTTATCTGTTTACTAGAACATATTCCAGGGCTTAAAAACTCTGTCTGATCGCTACTCTAGACTGCAAAAATAAAATGAATCTGCAGGAGAGATGGCAGGAACTGTTAGCAGTGGCCAAAACAACAGTTGAGTACATTCTAAAAGAAAAAGTGGTGCATGATCTCAGGATCTTTTCCACGGTGAAAGAAAAGCCCCTTCACAATCTCCAGCCAAGTGAAGAACATTCTCCAGGATGCAGGCATATCATTATCCTGCCTTACATGAAGAGAACACTTAAAGCTGGAGAAGGCAACGTTGGAGGAACTGGCTAGATATAGAAAGTATCAGAGAGTGCACATAGTGCACGTGTGTGCAATAGGCAGGTAGACAGGCAGTTAAGCCAGCCAGTCATTGGCTGTGCTTATTACTGTGCTGCCACAGAGATCAGATTTTTTTTTTTTTGTCAAAGCATTTGATTTATTGATTGCTGTCGGGACGTAAAGAGACTTTCTACTAATATAACAAAATAAGCTGAAATAATTGCCTACCCCAGCTTTAACAAGAGCAAACACAGATGGTTCACCAGGTGTTCACAAGGTGCAAACCACTGATCACCTCGAGAATAGAAAGGCCAGATTAGACTTTGCCTAAAACCATCTAAAACAGTCAGCCTAGTTCTGGAACAGCATTCTTTGGACAGATGAATCTTAAGATCAGCCCAAACACCCAGGGGAGGCAGTAGGGTTAGGGGTGGTGTTTATTGATGATGCACCAGAAGCAGCCGGGTGAATTCTGAGGTGTATAGGGATATACTGTCTCCTCAGATTCAGTAAAGTTGATTGGACGACCAGTATAGATGGACACTGACCCAAAACATACTGCAAAACCCAGGAGTTTTTTAAGGCAAAGAATATTCTGCAGTGGCCAGGTCAGTCACCTAATCTCAACCCGAGCATGCATTTCACTTCCTTACATGCTTGCATCTTGTGTCCAGCAGTGAAACTTGTTTTCATACTGAGTAGGAAAACCATACGAGACACACATTATTATTCAAAGCAGACCCTTAAAAGATGTCTGGAGGGGATCTTTAAAGACTTTCTGACAGCGGCAGGTATCAAGGTAGTCATATTTCAGAGGAGGTTGACGGGCTTACAGAAATGTGCTTTGTTGCTGATTCAGTATGATTTGAAACCTTTTATTTGTGTGCCCAGCAGTGCCGAGGCGTCCACATCCAGCTGTGTGATCCTCTGATGGATGACTTCTTCTTCTTCAGACTGTGAATGGAATTCAGTCTGATGATAGTGGAGCGTGCAGGTCCGTCTGAGAGTTTCTCTTCAGATTGACTTTTGTGTTCCAGTTCTGCCAAACGTGACACACACACACGCAGCTGTATGCCTGTGCAGTGACTTATTTTTACGGCTTATTTTTTACTATGCTTTCTAACATATCAACATATGAGGTCAGGAGAGGTTAGGATTATTACTAACAGCAGCTTCAGCTTCTGCTCATCCTGTGCAATATAACCTATCTTGATCTGCTGCTTTAAAAACCAAATATGTGATTAATGTTTAACTGTGAGCAGGGCGCTGCTGCGGAGGTTCATCTACACTCTGCACGAGTCAGTTCAGGGGCTCTTTTTCAGCCAGTCCGCTTTTTGCACTGCATTTACAGGCAGACTTTAGAAAAGAAGAGAAAGGAAGAAATTAAAAATAACTTTTTGGATAGGTGGTTAAAGAAAGACACGGCATAATATTCAACTTAGTACAGGTGGCCCCACAGGGCTTGGACTAGGTCCCATTTTTAAAAAGTAAATGTGTGACACTTTATACAGTTAAAGCTTTTCCATTTTCCAGTTGGTTCTGTCCAATCAGCTCATTGGAAGAGTGACTCGTCTTCACCTACATTCACTTTTCACATACTGAAGCAAACCGAACGCTCTGTGCAGTGTTGTTTCCTTCACTTTCATTTTAGTTTTCTTAGAGTTCACTTCATCATAGAAATTTATATCCAAAAGGATTTTTTTTCCCCCATGACACTTTTTCATCATTATATTCATTTCATGAATATTGCGTGGCAGTTGTTTTACACCAGTGCGCCCTTACCTCTGAGCCAATACAACACAGCCAATCACCATCTGGGTTTATCCAACTATTTTCTGTTGCTGTCGTTTGTCCCACATGACCTGAACGCATCAGTGCTGCTGCTCTTTTCTCAATCTAATCAAAGGAAATGATTTTAACCTTCCTTGGATTACCAGATATACAGTAGTTATCTTACTTGTGAGAAACACTGGGGAATAACTATTCTTATAATATTAATTGAATGAGTGCATCAGCTGCACTGGATTCTACAAATGACAAAAGTCTCTGTGTAGATTTCTGTGCAGTATCTGCATCCAGGAAAGAAACCCTGGTTAACAGATATAATGTTCTACATGCTGACTGTCTGGTTATCATGTCCTTTATCCTTTTATTATATATTTTATTTACAAACCAACAAATATTTGCTTCATCTGCATTATACTTTATATATTTTATTTTAATGTGTATTTTACAGATTTGTTTTCCTATTGTACATCTGTTTGCTAAATCCCAAGCTGTTACACTGGTTAGAAATCATGATTGGAGATGGAAATAATGGAAATGTCCCAATAAAACGTGTGTGTGTGTGTGTTTTTCAGCACTTGACATCCACTAGATGGAGACACAGAACAGTGGTGTAGCAACTGTGGTGTCAAATGCACATATATTATACACCACACAACATTTTTCCTTTTTGAAAAAGTGCCCAGAATTGATTTTGTATCTACAAGGACATACACAACTCTTTAATGTTTTTGACTATATTTTTTGCCATTCTCCTTTTTTATTCCGCAAAGTTGATCTGTTAAACTCCAAGTTTATACTTTGATGCTTGAGCAGTCTGAGTCAAGTTATTTTCTTCTAGTGTTTTTATTTCCAAATACCCATCTTTTTGTTTTTCCCTAACACTGTTTTCACGCTGAGCTGTGGCAGAAGCACAGTGACACAATTTGATTACAAAAAAACATGAAATGAAAAAACTAAGGATCATTATATTAAAGAAAGACAAAAGTACAGTCTAAAAGATTTTTAACAAGTCATTTTACATCAAACGCATGTGACATGGCTCCTCCAGTAGCAGGCCGTGTTCCTCATTCATCTGTCTTCCCTCCTCAGCTCCTCAGCATGTCGTCGTTCCTCTCTGTATTAATAGTCTGTTATATAGATGCACTCGTTGCTGCATCGTGTCTAGCCTGTGACCTCTGCAGAGACAGGAGACTCCTGGAAAACATTTGTCTTCCCGTATGGTGAATACAGCCTGTTCAGGATTGAGAATCACTGATTTGCTGGAGCATGCATTTATTCTCTCTGGCTGACAAAAACAGTTAGAAATATGATCTGAAATAATGATAAACAGAAATCCCATAATGTCTTTATAGATTGCTCCCAGCACTAAAGTGAATCTCTAAGCTGCTGTGACTGATAAACACATCGGATTTGTTCCTTTACTGACATACTATTCAGGAATTATTACATGTATTACTAGAGCACCTGTACTCATTCAGTTAGATTCACAGCTCTGTGTTGTACTTTCTATTTCTCAGTGTATTGCTGCCTGTGGCATGTGTGATATGATAAACCAAATGTACTTGGTTACTGAGCTGGCTCTCCTATCTGTCGTTATTAAACTGTGTTCACCATCTTTTTTATCTATAAACTGTACTGGGGCACATAACGGTACATGGAAGCCCCTATATAATAGCCCTCCTGTCTGTGATACAAAAGTTTACATTCAGTTGTAAAGAGGGTGTATGTCATCATTTCTGAGATGGAATGATTAGAGGCACATGCTTCTTTGTCACAAGAAAACATTCATGAAGGTTGGTTCTTTCATAAATTTATTATGGGTCTTCTAAAATATGACCAAATATGCTGGGTCAAAATACACAGCAATGCAAATATTTGGTTAAATGTCCCTTGGCCGGCTGAAATTGTTGACTTCCTGACAGACTGTTTTCTTCAGCACAGTGCACCGGTTACTTTGTTGTGAATCAGCGCTACATAAATAAATTGAATTGAATACTCTAAATGGGGCAAGTCGGGACTTTGGGAAAGATCTAAAACCTTAATTTAGGACTGATTTATTCCTTTACCACTTTGATGTGTGTTTGGGGTCATTGTCCTGTTGGAACACCAGATGCATCCAAGAAGCTACCTTCTGTTTGATTTAGGTTTGCCTGAAGGATTTGGCTTAGGTTATCCTCCTTGATCATTCCATTTAACTTTCTATAAACCACTAGTTTCATTGGCAGCAAAACAACTTGGGAACTACTGAGCACCTCCCTTGCAAAAAATCGGGCATGATGCAGATGCTTCTGGAAATGGCATACGGTACATAGTCCTGCACAGTAAGTTCACGTAGTTAAGCAAAATCCTCAACCTTACAAGCAGTAGGCCTACACCATTTGTCAAATGAATGTTCCTTGTCCCATACATAGGTTTGGGTCAAAGTTTTCTTGCGGCAGTGGAAAAACTGTCATATAGAGGAAGAGTTACCCTCTATCAAGAAGTCAACGCCCTGAGGTACCTCTGTAGCTAAAGCACTTTATATGTGGAAGTTTTTCAAATGTGTAACGGGGAAATCTGTAGGAAAAAAATCCATAAACATCCTACTGTCCACAAACATGTATTTTCAAATTTGTGTTGTGAAAAATTTTATCCACAAAATTATGCAACAAATTGTACATGTGAAGTGGGTTTTGCAAATTTGTGGACCACTTCCTGTCCATTTGTGGGTCCCGTTACATTTGTGACATCCCTTTTGTGTATTTGTGGAATTTTGTCCAGTGTGTACAGTGGAAATCTGTAGAAAACATCCACAAGTATGAGAGGCAGGTGGCAACTGCTACATTCCCTCACATGAGCTGACAGGATTACCAATCAATCGATCAATAAATCCAATTTTTACTTTTACTTGTGCAGACTCACCATTCAGCATGGTCCCAATACACTTTACACTTAAAAGGAATGTATAGGTCAAACATATCAAGCAGAAAATACAAGGAAAACTACCTAGTATCATCCTCATCTGCAGGAGACGAGAAGGACTGTAGCGTGGTTTCAACAGCAGGTGAAAGATAAAGTGGAGAATCTTTAACCCAACACTCAGGATCAGGTATATCCTTGTCACATCCAGGTAAGTCTGCTGTGCAGTGCCTGTTTACCTAGGCTACTGTTTGTTAGCGCTGTGTTAGCTGTATAATGTTAAACAAATTTAGGTTACAGCTCACATGAAATCATTTAGTTCAAGTCAAGAGACTTCATGGGTTTCACAATAACTGGTATTCCATAGTGATGGAATCAGAAGTAGACTATGGCAGTTGGCCTGATCAATTCAAAAAGATCATTATTATAGTAAACCATGACATCACTGGTGTGTTTGTAACATGATTAGGTGAATGATGTGATGTGGATTTTCTTTATTTTCCATTTTCTCAGCACCACCTTGGCTTTATCTCTGCTCCAGTCCCAGCTGTCCCTGGACTCCGAGCCACCCTCAGCCTGCTTTCTAGGCTTCTTCTGCTGGCCCACTGGACTGTTCTCCATCTACATTCTGTACAAGTGTATATAGTTTACTTTGAATTGTTATTGTGACGGCCCTTCTGCTGGGTTCACACTGCTGTTGATTTGCTCTCTGTCTCCAGGGCTGCTGGGTAATCAGGGGCATGAGACACACACATTTAGGCGTTGGTGCTTGGTTTCCTTTTATTTATTTGTCCCTCTCTCTCTCTCTCACCCCAACCGGTCGAGGCAGATGGCCGCCCACCCTGAGCCATGGTTCTGCTCGAGGTTTCTGCCTCTTAAAAGGAAGTTTTTCCTTGCCTCTGTCGCCTAGTGCTGCTCTTGGTGGGAACTGTTGGGCTTCTGTAAATAGCATCACAGAGTACGGTCTAGACCTGCTCTTTATGTATAGTGCTGTGAAATAACTGTTGTGATTTGGCACTATATAAATAAAATTGAATTGAATCCACTCCCTACACTACAGATTCCTCCTAATCATGAGTTTGGGTTGGTTTTCCTTATTTTGTTTTAAATAAATTACTTTGTCATTTATGTCTTCCGTTTATTAGTGCCGGGCTGTGACATATTCATATAAATATGAGCCTACATTTGAAAATTGTGTTTGTAGTGCAGTTTGCAGGATTTTGTTTCTATTATCATGATGAAGAACAAAAGATCAAGCAGGAATGTGTCACTTTGAAGTTGTGTGAAAGTGCAGCAACATTTTCCACTGAGCCCACACAACAAGGAAGAGACATGACTAGCTAGTCATGTTGCATTCTATGTTTATAGGAGGAATGTCAGGTCAAAAACATCCTGCTAGAAATTACCTACCACTGCAGCCTTCAGCTGGAATTCACTGCCAGAACATGCAAATAACCTTTTAGAATTTATTTACTTTTTTCAGTCTGTTTATTGTTAATAGTCTATGCGCATTTAGTAAAGTGAAGTGTTTGTGGGAGGATATTTTAGTTGATGGGGGGGGGGGGGGTTTCAAGGAATAAAACATTTTGTAACAAAATGACATGTTTTGTATGCCTGTCTGTGATTTCGTGACCCTTATGCAGTAAAGATCATAACCAGAGAGAGAGAAAGTTAACAGAATAGTGCCCTACATTCCCGAGCGACCTGAAGGCAGCATGCACTAACTTACAGTAAACGGATGCGGTAATTTGCATAGCGAGCAGGAAGTTTTTCATTAGTCAACAGCGGGTCGGTCAGGCGCTGTTGTCGCGCTTTGGCTTTAGTTTAGACCACAGCAGTATGAAAAGCAGAGACTTCTCGACTGGAAATGATGGATGTGACGGTTTTTTTCTTTAAAATGATCCTTCTGCGACTGGTTTCGGTTTTAACGTGCGTGTCTCTGACGGCCACGGAGGGGCTTTCAACATGGGCTCCTGCCAACTGCTCTCAACAGGTGAGTTTAGTTAAGCTAGCAGCCCCGGACAGGCTGGGACTGAACAATGCTCGGCCAGACAGAAACACTAAGTCCAATTAGAATAATTAACAGCATTTTTTGATATGGTAATGTTGTGAGTATGTCGCAAAATATGAAAATTCAAATAAGAAACAAAGGTCAGATCATTTAGGAAAAAAGCATAATTTTATTTCAAATATAGGCGAACTTAAAACCAACGTTAGTCCAGATACTGGAATGGTTACCATGTAGTTCTGACCTGGAACAGCCTGTCTGCTTCACTCACCAAGATTAATAATTCACTCGTTTATTAATTAATCATTGTTCATTTCTGATATAGGCTTTGTCTTGGCATTTAGACGCATGACTTAGTATAAAAAGTTTCTTGTTGAAGATCATTTTGAACAACGTAACAACAAACCAAAATGTCATCATAACATGACACACAGTGGAGGCGATTGGGACAAAACAGGGCTGTGCCTTTTTTAGGGCCCTACAAACTTGTTGGTGTTGATTTTGTTTCATGTGTAATGATATTTTCGTCAGATGTGTTCTGTAAAGCTCTTCAGTAGTCTTTATATTTGTAATGTTGACAATACAGCATCTCTAATCTTTGCTTTTCTCCTGTTTCTCCTGCCACAGGGTCTGAGGTGTACAGTCAGCACAAGTGAGGGGATTTTATACTCTTGTTTAAACTGTATTCATGTGTCTAGTCTATTAAGCGCATGTTGAAGAAAGCAGAGTGCCTAACACTCACAGATTACAGATTTGGGTTTTGAGGGGTTACAATGATACTCTTAGACACGTTTAGTCACCAAAAGTAGGTGCATACTCTCCATCTTAAAAACATTTTTATCCTACAAAATTTCAGTGTTCTGCGCCAAACTGACTCACTGATATGGAGCTGTGTAATACTTTCTTGCATTTGAATTAAAAAGTGAATTAGCACACAAAAAAGATTTGGTGTAAATATATTAATGCTCATAATGCAAGCAATTTTTTTTGTGTGTGTGTAAGCAGGTAACTGTTGGGACAGTAAGTGGTTGGATGTTAATGACTACACTCCCAGCAGTCCAGAGGACCTGAAGGTGTCTTTTGACACCAGGCAGGATGAGAAAGGACACCTTCATCCTGTGGTGGTCGCTAACTGGAAGTTAAAGGATGATGGTGAGTCATTCTGCTGTCTTGAAATGCTCAAGGAAAGAGACGGCGCACAACTCGTCATACTCTAAATAACACACCCAGTGGAGGGAAAAACCGTCAGCACCGCAATATGCAACCAAGAGCTGAAATATTAACAAAATGCCAGTAGCTAGTTAAAAACATTAGACTTCAGCACATCACAGGATCATTTTAGCTCCTTATGTCCACCAGAGAGGAAAAGCTTTGTTGATACACTCAGTATTGTCATTCTGTCTCAGTGTCCCTTTTCCTTACCTTGCTTTATTTGGAGTTATGATCCCACTGAATCTTAATTACCAGTTAAGATCATTATGTAACCCAGTGGTTCTCAAACTGGGGGGCAGGCAAACTGCTGAGGTAAAATATGGAGTGGAACTAAGTTGAATGAACATGATTTATGTAGAGAAATGACTGATAAGAATTCAATCCAGTTACATGTAGTGGGGGGGCATGAGCCATTTTTGTCTTTTAAAAGGGGGTCATGACAGAAAAAGTTTGAGAACCACTGATTTAACATAACAATTAAAACTAGGCCTTGAATAACTTTAGATTCAAACTCTACAGTTTGAGAAAAATGCTTGTTGCACATGTAGGTCAGGATCCACCAGTTTTCCCACTCTTCCTGCTGATGCCTCACTTCTTACTGCCTGTTTGCACTGTCAAAGCGAGCGTTCGGGGCGGGGATATGAATATATATTGAATATTTTCAACTCAAGCGAAGAAGTCGCATGACGCTGAGTCACGATAGCCTATCAACGTTGAGATTGTCCGTACGTCACCGACAGCTTCAGAGCGTTGTGTGGAGAGGGCCAGGCAGAGTGGGCAATTGAAAATCTTCTGGCCGGGTGAGAGCTGCTAAACTTGGGCTAGAGGAGCAGGGAGCAGCGCTCCAGCTTTTGGTGATCTGGATTCTGCTCTGACAACTACGCTGTTTACTCGCGGGAGGAGCTCGGAGTAAACTGCTTTTATTAAATTAGCTTTTTACCTTAGTTGTGTAAATTTCTGGTGAGGACTTTAGTTAAGCTCATGATCAATGTGATGTAGCGAAGACGGGAAGGAGCATTGAGACAGGAAGTGACCTTCTGTTTCTCCTCAGGCAGCATTGGTTACCTGAAAGCCACTGAGCTTCATGTCCTTGTGAAGTCCACCAACCAGAACCTGTGTGTTCGATATTCTTTCAAAGACAAACTCCCAATGAGAAGTCCATCACAAGAAAAGGTGGGTGTCTTACAACAATTACTGAGATGTTTACTCAGTCAGAACATATGTTTCTTTTAAATATGTCCTGCTGGTATTATGGAAACTTTACCATCCAGTTTGACCATAATTCCAGTTTTTAGTGGTCTCTTGTGTTCTGAATGACTTGTAGCATTTCTTTGTCTGTGTTTGCAGCTTCTTTATGCCATGTATGTGTTGTTAAATAGATGAATGTGTTTCTGAATTTGCTTGTGTTTTAGTTATTTGCAGCATTTCTTTCCCCTGAAGATGGTCAAAGCAATCGGGATATGTTCTTCAGTGGCTCGTGTTTTACTGAGCTGCACTGCATTGAGCTCTGTTGGACACCATAGTTATGCACACAGTTAATAAGATCATTTCTTGACCTGGTCACATTTTGATCAGTATTAGCTAGCTTGAGCCCTTTGGATGGGGTGTTACAGAATGAAACGGTTACTCTGATACTCCAGAGGAAAAGCAGTGAAGGAAAGCAGAAAAGCAGACTGTTGCTTCTTAAAGGAGACCTATTATGCTTTTCCACATTTTATGACTTTTCTACAGTGTTGGATGTTCATGTTAAACGTGGCCAAAGCTTCAAATGATGAGGTTAAAGTATTTAAAAGGAAATGCAGACCTATTCAGTTCTCACGTATACTTTCCCTAAACTGGATTGATCTTGTTGATTTTAATATAGGTGAAATACGCAGCTGTATTATAACAGGAGTTATAAATATCAGATCTGAAGCAGATACTGAATATTAAATGCTACAGACCAGAATCAAGAGAGAACGCCCTGATTGGGACAACCGTTGCATAGCTTTAGGTGAAGCCCAGTCAGCACATTTTAATTCCCTGACAGGCAATAATATGACGGTATTGTTTTGTGTTTTCAGTGGTCTTTCTCGGCTGTTGTGCTGTTGGACCCTGGTCAGTCATACTGGGTCTCTGTATTCAACATCCCTAAACCAGAGTTGGGCCACAGCAACTACAACGTTGGCGATAACATCAGCGTTCCTGGTGAGTCAAAACCAGCAGTAGGTTGGTTGGTCTGTGCATTGTCCTGTCACTGTTTGGTTGAAGTTATGAATGACTTTAGTTTTCTTTTATTAAATATATTTCAGCCTTCTTATTTGTTCATTTTTAACTCATGTAATCAGTCTGTTTTCTGTGTGTGTGGAGCTTATATAAAATGGTTAATTAGATTCTACAGGATTAAAGGATATGTACTGAAACACCAACACTAAAGTTAGCTTCTAATTCACAGCTTCGCTGTCCGCGGTTAAGAGAAACTTAACTTACATTGTTGAGCAATGTGAAAGCGTGTTACACATTTTGGGTAAAGTGTCAACAGTGTCTGATATCAACCTACATTTAGATTTGTAAAACCTTTAATTGCACACGTGAAAATGCAAAAAAGGGCAATTTCTTTTTTCACATCTAGACCACTTTAGACCAGGTCCAGATTAAAAAACAGACTACCTAGACTTGTCAAATCTGAACTAGATCATCTCAGAGAATCCAAAGAAGTCTGTGAAGGTTTTCAGTCATCCAGGTCATAGTTATTCAGGGAAGGTTAAATCAAGGGCAGCTGGACTTGGTTGAAGATACTGGTGGACATTTTGCTTCTCATCCAAGAGGCTTCTTCAGTTCTGACTGACTGGCAGGGAGTCCCAGCTATTTGCCCTCTGTGGGGTCGTCATCAAGGTGGTGGATACAACTTGGTTTGTTAGTGCTCCTGGCTGTTGTAACAACACTCTTTATGGTTGTTGAAGTCATCTGAGGCCAGGTCAGAACAGCTGGCGTCGGCATTGTCACGGAGGCCAAATGTGAGCGTTAGTTGAATCTCCTGGGAAAGGATGAAAGGACAGCATTGTATATAGAGAATAAGTGGCAGACCTCCTCCCCCATTGAGAGATGGTTTCTCTACTTTGGTGTAGATGTCTCTTTTACTCCTATTGTTGTCCTCAAAAGAGTGTCCTTTGGCCTTTAACCAAGTGGTACGGGATCTGCCTGAAATCAGTCAGGTGATCAATTTTCGCTGTTATAGCCATTTTCAGTCCTAAAACAGCTTGTGTCAATAAAGACCGTCCTTGCGGGCTGCCATCTTGGTGAGGCCGGTGAGCTGATAAGTTTCCTTTCTGTCATCAGATTGAGGGAGAGAAGAGCTTGCTTTGGCGGAGGCAGCCTTTATTGGCATCTGCTGGCGACCTATAGGAGCTACACAGCATATCAATCAATTCGTCTCTTCAATACGAAGAGAAAGAGCCCACTTACAGCCCTGTAGGATGTGCTTTTGTTCATAGGAATATTGACTGTTTTTATCAATATTTGGAACGTGGTTGTATGGAGAGACATAGTGTTTTAAAGAGAACTCCCAATAAAAGTGAACATATAAACAGTAAATATGGCCAAAACATGGACATTGGCCTGGTATATTTTGTCAAAAACTGTTTAATAATGTATATCAGTTTCTTTTCATCAGAATTACAGTTACAGTTGTATTAGAAGATATTCAGGTGCATTATAATCGTCCTTATGATGGTTTTGATGGTTTATTGCATTAAAATATATGTATAGCTTTTTTTACCAGCCGAGGATGAAAATATCATAGCTTTTATTTTATTTTTATGCATCTCCATGTAGTCTGTAATGGTAAAATAAATAAGTTAATGTACAATGGATTATGTTCCTTAGCTTCTGACCTTTCAAAAGAGATCAGAATTATGCATCTAGGCCTAATGGTTGAGGAAATATTACTAATTTATTTTGGGTATGCTGTTTTAGGCGTTTCTCCTGGAAATAGGTGGCAGGTACCATGTGGTTAAATCTAGGCAAACTGCTGAGCCTTGACCTGAGCAGTAGGCCCTTTTACGTTTGTGTAGTGGTTGTGTAGTTTCCCCATTATACAAGCCTAACCGTTAACTGCTGCCCTCTACAAGCAAGTCCAATGTGTCCCAGAGTGGTTTGGTCCACTGCCTGCATTCAGAGACATTTTACAGAGGAGAGACGCCACTCAATCACATCCTCAATACATATAATCTTTATTTTGGGTCAAAGTAGTTGAGTAGTCATTGCAGGTTTCTGATATTAATTAATTATTTAATAATATAATATATATTTTTGGAGCATCAGAAATTGGTTTGAGGGCTGAGAAAGAGTGTCAGATTAATAAATGGTCTGTACTTGTAGAGCGCCTTTCTAGTCTTCCAGCTACTCAAAGCACTTTCCACTTTACCTTGAAGCTGTAGGAGGTGTGATACGTTAGAGAGAAATACCAAACCAAAGTGAGCCTTTAAATATAAATGTTACTATGGCAAAGCGAGCCGACATGGATTAGAAATTGTAGGCAGCATACTCGTACTGTGCAACTTATTCATAATGTTGCACAATTTCCTAAACTCACAACAACTATGTTTAAAGTGAGATAAAAAAAAACAAGGGGATTTTTTGCATCTGTCTCATTTGCAACACTAAATCCTCTTGACTTTGATGAAATTCTGATTTTGGTTAACCTAGATTGTCAAGATCCTAGAGTGCTGATGACCCAGTTTTGCATAGAGAGAGGTGAGTCCTTGATATTCTAAAGTCCAGTAAGAATGAGTATATCATGTAAACCATTTCTAACATGTTGTCTTGTTGCTGTGCTGTAGGAAGTCTATGGCAGCCTAACATCAGTCTGGCTCAGATCACTGCAGCCAGTGGAAGATCTGCGCTGGCTGTCAGCTTCAATCCTGACAGATTCGCTGAGAAGTACAAAGTTTTTGTGAAGTGTTCTGCCATTAAACAAGAACACCATGCATACAGTGTAAGGTCACATGCTGGACATTCAAATGATTCTGTATTTGAGGAGTGGGTTTGCAGTAGGCTGTCTCTCACAGAAGAAGAATGCAGTTTCCTTTTCAGCGATTTGACCCAGAACATTACTGTATGTGCTCATTACAGCAGCCTCTGTTTTGTACCATAGCCTAGTTTTTACCCCACTTTTGTCTTTATTTCAGTCCAGGAAACTGCGTGCCCTGCCTCTCTGTGCACTGTTTTCTGCTGATTGTAGAAAAGGCTGCTCATTATGTTTTCTAACCACTTGAATACACACATCTCAACAGTCAAAGAGACCTTTTAGGGCTGACATACCACGTTGTTCTGCACAGTATCCAAGTTACAACACCGCAGAGTGTGTGTGAGGACTTTATCTGTACTTCAGTACATTTACGCCTTTTAGTTTGGTTTAATTTGACATCAAATAAGAATACTGCCACCTGAAAATGCAGCTCTCAGCCTCCTCACAGGGAGCTGAGCTGCAGTTAGGAGTGAGGTGTCAGCAACTCCCTCTGTCCTTTCTTGGGACTACTGTCTACCTGCTGGGTACAGGATATTCAGATGCTATTGAAACTGTCTTTACTATTAGATCTAACAAGATTATTAGAAAAGACAGAATGAGGGTGAACTTAGCTAAGACTAATTCTACTCTCCTCTTTAAAACACAGACCAGGTTCTTGTGGGGATTTTTGACCTGTGTGCCTTGTGCCACAAATCTTTGGGTGGTCATGATGGTGATTTCTAAAGCTGTTGTTAGGGGTTCTCTATTGTATTGTGTTCTAATACAGTATATAGCCTTCCCTCAGTGGAACACATCAGGTCATGGGATTTGTTGGAGGGCTGTGCATTAGTCTTAGAATCTAATAAGGTTTTAAATTAAGGGGGGGGGGGGCGGCGCGACACTGACTATTTTCTGTTTTGTTTTTTTTACCACCCTGTTCATGTTCAAATGTACCAGAAATGTGTTTATTTTTATTGTTTTATTTTATTGTCTTGTGAAGTGTTCTTACGTCATCTTCTTTCTATTGAAAAACTCTCTTCTCCAGGCTAATCAGACCCTGAATGTAAAATTCAGCCTTGATAATTGGCCTAGATCCTGCTGCCAGTTTGATGCGGAGGTAAATCTTGTCAGATCTATTCTGCTGAGTGATATTAGTGAATTACTAATCTCATTTTTTCAGCTGGCGAGGCCTAGAGTTAATGTGACTTTATTCTTTCTTGCAGATCCAACCTTTCTTCCCAAAATGTGGCAATGACTGTACCCGTAAAAGGAAAACTCTGGATATTTGTCCTGGTATGTTGGCATATAGAATACCAGCAGGGTAAAGCATGTGCCAGATGTACAGTATGACCTGTAATGTCTCTGGCGTCTCCAACTAAGAACTTAGTTGAATCAGAATTGTCTAGTCTTGCCTATAGTCAACTGATCATCGAACCAAGTACTGTTTAAAAACAATATGTTCTTTGTGTGGTTCATCAATGGTGATAAATGATCAAAAGTCCCACAAGGTGCACGCAACGCCCACACCTGCAGTGACGCCCCCTTCCTTAAGAGTTAGGGTAGTAATTTTGGATTTATTCACACATTTCTTTTCACATATTTATTACAGCATTATATGATGATATTTATATCATAATAGGCTGTATATTAACTTAGAAAACTGGCAGTTCTATGTAAAATCAGACATGAAGCACCCCCATACAGCCAAAATGGTATGATCCTTGTTTCATAACCTCTACGAAGATCTGACTGTGAGATCTGTGAGAATAGTGGTGATGAAAGACTGGAGCTGGCTGGCTAACTAAACTAGCTGGTCAGCTAACGCTTCTTTTGGAAATACAGGAGACTGTGTGCAGTAGCTGGTGTGTTAGTGGCTAGAATGGAAAACAACTAAGACAGCAAAACCAAACAAATTGAAAGAGCCCAGTGATATGAAGCACCTTAATACAAGGTTCTTATGATGAACGTTTTCCAGCTGGACTGCAGCAAAGTGTTGGACTAATAACTTAAAATAACAACTACAAATCTTTATTTATACACACATACATTATACATTAATTCATCAACATGTCCTTAAATTGATCCCCAGAATTAACATCTCTCATTCGTTATCCTTACAGACTAACAGTTTGTATTCCTTCTGTCCATTCATAGCTCTCCGCCCTTCTTTGCTAGGCCACTGTTTGCTGAGAATTAAAAGCTGAAGGCTGAATCCCACAGCTTCGATTTTGATAACATAAATGAGTAACATTTTACCATCAGTTGGACAGAGTCATGCACTTATTCACAAGAAAAAAGATAAGAGCATCTGTTTCTACTACATCCATCCGGGGCTAAACTTAGACCAAATCTGACTCTACTAAATGACTGCCATGACTCATGGACCTGATTTGGACAAAAAAAGAGAAGAAAAACAATATATGTGGATGATTTCAGTGGATGAATGAAAAGCATAAAAGGAAAATTCAGGGGATCAACACAGTCATAGGAATTTAGCCACGGGGACCATGAACGTCGTAGTTTACTCTGTAAAAAAGAAAAAAAAAGCAGCCGTAATGAACTGTGTTCTGATTTACACAGCAAAGCCAACAGATGCGCCCACCGTCCCTCTGTACCCATTTGTCACCCTGGGCGTGGTGTTTTTGTGTGTGGTGATGGCAGTTATTATGTGCGTCCGCTGCAGGAAGCCAGGTTAGTATACATTTTCAGTTCTGTATCTACTGAGTTGGACTTAAAAGTTCCTGTTTTCATAAAGAAACATTGGTTTGAAATGACTCTTAATTTGCTGATAGCATCTTATTGGTGCTCTTGTGCACTTTCAGGCAAACCTGGTATTGCTACAGTACCTGTGGGAGGTGAGAAACCATGGCAGCAGCAGCTTAAACAACCTCCCAAAGTGCTGGTCATCTACTCCCAGGACCACCCCCTCTACAGGGACATAGTGCTAAAGCTCTGTGCCTTCCTCCAGGCTAAGTGTGGCACCAAGGTGCTGGTGGACCTGTTAGACTCCACCTCGGTTGGCATGGTGGGTCGCCTTCGCTGGCTTGAATGGCAACGGCAACAGCTTAAAAATCCTTCTGACAAAATCCTGGTGCTGTGCTCACGAGGCGTCCAGGCCAAGTGGAGGGCCATGTGCGGGGAAGGTCGGGTGACACTGAGGGAAGACGTTGCCTCCCCTACTGACGACATGCTTACTCCCTTTCTCAACCTCTTCCTGCCAGACATGCACCAGGCAGGCATGCTGGGTAAGTACATGGTGGCTTACTTTGATGTCATCAGCAGCCAACAAGACGTGCCATCGGTTTTTGACATTGCGGTCAAGTACAAGCTGATGAAGCATTTCGAAGAGCTGTACTTCCGCATCCTAGACATGGAGAAGTACCAGCCAGGTCAGGTCAACCACATCAGCGGGATCGGTGGGGACGAATATTTCAACTGTCCCTCAGGCAGAGCCCTGAAGAATGCCATCGAAACCTTCCAGGCCTACCAGCTGGAAAATCCTGATTGGTTTGAGAAGGAGTGTGTGGACAGTGAGGAGGAAGTGTTGACTGAGGCTAACCCGCTCATCGACCAGCTGACGATCCCTCCAGTCCTAGAGTGTGTTCCTCTAATCCGAGAGGGGCTTCCTGTCTACGTCCGTGAGGTGGAAATCAATGATGACCGCAACAGTGTCCGTGTCCTTACACCTGAACTGAACACAGAGTGCCAGCTGTCGTCAGTGGTAGAACTTAGGGCAACTGTGAGCCCCAAGTGCAAATATCAGTATCTGTCAAACCTGGATGAAGTGTTGACGGATCACCTGTATCCTCACAGCCCCAGTCCAGTATCTGTCCACATTGCTGAGCCTGTTCTGAACAGGTCGCCACCACTGAGACACAACTGGCTCTCCGTCCAGGAAGAACCCATGGGTCAAGTTCCCACTGAGGATGAGGAAGAGGATTCCCTACAACCTGTGATCCAGCTCTCCACTCATTCGGACCAGAGAAGCTCAGCCCTACAGAACTCCCTGGACTCCAACCCTCCAGAATCCTCATGTATGCAGAGTGAGTACTTCCCTCTATCTGAAATCAGCCACTCTCAGCCTGAGGAGATGGAGGAGGACGAGGTTCTGGAGCCCAGCGGAAAGGGTCCGAGCAGTGGATCTGATCAAGGCTACATCTCCAAAATGTCCTCCCAGCATGAGCCCCCTTTCATAGAGGATCCCCTGGTGGCTCTGAGAAGGCTGCAGGAGGAGCTGTTTCAGACAATCTGAAGGAAACCGCTGCTGATAGTCCAAAATCCACCCGCAGGAACGAGTACTGAACTTTCACTAAGTGCCTGAAGGTCCAAACGCTGTGAGATCACACAGCTGGACAGAGGTAATTCTGTGGCCAGTAAAGTGTGGGGCTTATATGTGACATTCAATGTTTGTTGATGACTTTCTCGATATAATAACCAGTGCTTAATTTGATTTGCACTAATAAACCCATTTATTAGTATGATGTATACACACAAAGACAAATCAACATGATCATACTTTCACAGAACAAAGAAGTAGAAAGAGCATCTGGTGCACATATAGATTTATTTTTTTATTGTTTAATTTGTTGTATTCAGTCAAAAGGGTCTGAAAAAGAGAAAATCTGTGACCTGCCTTAAGAGATGTTGGACTCGGAGGCAGCATCTAGTGGTCATTAGAGGAACTGCAACTGAATGAACCCGTGCTTTTTGTTCATCACTCACACGGAAGGTTGCAAGGCTGGATTACAATACCAACCAGCCGAAACAGCAACTTCCCAGGGGCCCCGATCCTCAAGAGCCAGAAAGTTCCATGTTAGCAATTTAGCATAAACCAAATCTTGATGCCCCATGTTGTGTCGGGCTCCTGAGAAAATAAAGCTGGGGGAAATGGAGGGGTCATTAGGGGCCTCCAGCTCATTTTGTACTGGGTTAATCTGACCCCGCATAGTTGTTGCTTGGTGTGGACAAAAATAAGTTGGCCAGTCAACCTGTATGATTGTTGAACATTGTTGTGTAAAGTTGTATCTAGAAAGAGATCCATACTCTTTCTGAAGTTTACTGTTGAGGTTTTAAATTGCAGATTTTTTTTTCTGCTGTTAAAATGTGTTGTCTTCTAAATATAAATACAATAACATTATCAGTGCGTGTTCATGTAAGGATTACATTTTCTTTAATAATATATGGGGGTGTCATTTTAAAAGACTCAATCAATCCTCTGTGTACAGTACTTTCCTCAGATTTATTTCAGGTTTCAACCACATAATACTCTTACATCTACAGTACATAGATTGGATTATATCAGTACAGATATACACCACACAAGTTAACAGAAAAGGTAGAATCCTTTCTGTAAACAGCAATGTTCTTTCCCTGTAAACAAGTTTGAAGAAAATAAAAGCCCATATCATATCAGACGGGGTTGTTCACTCAATTGCACACGTTGTGTTTTTCATTGCACAAAGGCCAAAGAAGAAGAAAACATTTGATTCTGGGTAGCATGATCGGCTCCTTTAAATATCCAGGTCCATGAAAGCCTTTGGTTGTTTCAGTGTAGCTATGCTCCGTGCTTGTCCATGCAGGTTAAAGGTCCACTATACTTCAGCTTAAAGTTTAATGTAAACAAATGGTCCTGCTTGTGATTAAAACTGTGTGGTAAGGTTCATGTGCAAATCCAAATAAAGACTGTTAGAGAGCCTTTCCAACAGCGTAGGACACATAGATTACCGGCACATAGAAATAATACAAAATTGTATAAAATGCGTTTAAATACTTTGGCAAGATATGATACGCAATAAGCAAACAGAAGCTGAGAGAACCGCTGAAGCAGATAACGTCATACAACATGTGTGTAGAGCAGCAGCTCTGTGATCTGTAATCCTCCACAGAGCGCTCAGACTTCACAGCAGCACCCTGATGCAGTTAACTATTCAAGGATTTGAAATTGAAAGCTTTATTGATCCTAGGTTCTATTTAATTTTTGAGAGCCAAAGTCTTTCTGGGCCTTGTCAATAGTGATCTGACAAAAATAATCTCAGGATCCACTTTACAGTTTCCAACCACATCTCACGGTCTACATGAGCAGATAGTCATTGTCATGGAGACACCGCTGCTCTCATCATGTGACATAAGTTTACATATTGGTGGAAAACCCAGGAAGACTGGCCTGTGTGTGTGTGTGTGTGTGTGTGTGTGTGTGTGTGTGTGTGTGTGTGTCATCATCATGATCACGTGAAACAGACACCATCAGCTGTTTGTGAACACCAGACCAGAACCACATAGAGCGTCCACTGGGAGGAGGTCAAAGGTCATCGGAGAAAGATCAAGGACGGCATTGACATCTGACACCAGAGACTCTCTGAACACAGACGGGTCACAGTGACAGTTCCATACACCACCACCAATCATGTGACCATAGAGCCACATCATATGATGACCCCTGAGCAAACTCTATCCACTGAGGAAGACTGGGAGATGTGGTTGAAAGCTCTGGAAAAGATTATCAGATTATTTTGTCAAATTATTTTATTGTTCTAGAATGATCATAATGAATTATTATTATGTAGAATAAACAATCCATTGCATTGCCTACAGCTGAATTGACTGAATGTAAGTCCCGCCCCGTTACCCACAATGCTCCAGTCAAAGCTGACCCACAGGAGGTGGACTGTGTAAGCTCAGACAGCTTTCTGGAGAACGTACCTAGTTTGTAGTTAGAAAATACTAGAAACGTGTCAGGTGGACACCATTAGACACACCCTGACCTGTGTCGGCTGCAGGTCGGACCTTTCAGGGGTAAGTGAACAGATTTAAACATGGTCAGTTCCGCCGCACAAGATGCAACAGAATGCACAAGATTTAGGATTGTTTGTTAGCGTTGCTCACCTCCCCTGTTTGTCTTTGTACAGAAGAAGCCATCAGCTGAAAATCGCAGGGTTTCAGAGTTTCCATTATTAAATTATTAGGACTCAAGATTTAATTTTTTCCGCATGGAATTCATTTGAAAGCTTCCTAACAGCAGAAGGTTCCTTCAAGAAATTTGAACTCCACATTGTAGTGTGAATATGAGTCTAGGATTAAACCCTCTTTAGATCCAATCTCCACAGCTATGGCTTTGGCAGTTCAGCTGATTCAGCCATCATTTTGACCGTCAGCTTGGTGTGTCAGGACCCCTATAGGTAAATGAACAATTCCCTGATTTTGGCAAATGCATAATAATAGACCCAGATATATTTTTTGAATATTTAGAATAGTATTGGGAGCAATAACATTCTGACAGTGGACCTTTAAATTAGATAGAGATTCAGTTCATTTTAAATTGATTTAATTTAAGTTCTTAATCCTTGTAGGTTCCACCTGACACTGTATTTACAAGTGTTGGGGACATTTATGGGCCCCGCGACCCTGTACACAGGATAAGCGTTTGACGATGGACGGATGGACATTTATGGGCTCATATTAGGGGTGTGACAAAACACTTAGTCCACTCGACGTGATAGTTTACAATATTGGAGTCACGAGAACAAGACAACAAGATAGTCCTACACTATTTAGAAGAAATATTCATTGATGAAATAATAGACTGGGAGGGGGAGGGTCTGGTGGGGGGAGGGTCTGGGGGGAGATTTTGAGCATTAAACTCTTAATTTCCTGCATTCTAGAGACAACGTATGGTGGAAATGTCTTTATTTATATGAAGGGAAGCAAAATTCAGGCGGCCGGTGACAAATCTAATCTAATATGATGCAGTAATCATCAGTAATCAGCTTGTTTTTTTTGTTACTTTTTTTGGACAAGGTGGATCTGTTTCTTCTATATTTAAATTGCATTTCATGTTTTCTTATTGTGCAAGTAAACCTTTCTCATAGAATTTGTATTAGTTATTTAAAATTCCTTGTTGCAAGCTATTTTTCAAAAAATATGGTGGTGGGGGCATGTCCCCCGCGTCCCCAGTGTAAATGACACCTATGCCAAGGCCATACAGTCTATGGCCAAGACCCATTAGAGCAGAATTAGCCAGGCAAACCTTTTTTATGGCACTGCTGTGATTCAAATAACAAGTGACTTGTTTGCAAGTCCCAGTTGGTTTTACCCTTATCTACAGATCTCACGCACTTTGCATCAATGCTGGCCATTTTCTAAGGAAACTGCATGTTTTGAGATTGCTTTCCTCCAGTCAGTCACTGGTATGAGTTCATTCCAATACAGCTTGAACATCATATCTTGTTTTCACAGTTTCATACTTAAATCTTGTTTCATGGTTGACTGAATTTTCATTTCAGTCTGTATTGACATGTACAGCTCCGTGGCCAGTAGTGTTTGTTGGCCACTGATGTTTGGTGAGAAGGTCAGGGCTCTGTGCAGGCCATTCAAGTTCTTCCAAGCAAAACTGGGAAAAGCTCATGTTGAACAGGGAAGGACACGCTATCCACAAGCTGTTGACTCAAAAGCGGAAGAAACCAGGAAAAACAGACCCAGACCAACAGTACACATACCATGTGGCATGTGGTGCAGACTTTTCAAAGTGTATTACTACACAAGCATAGTGGCTGCAAGTTCAGTTTCAATGCTGTATTGAAATGATGAGAAACAACTGGCTGCCTGGAAGCTAAAGTATTTGGGATTAGCCGTAAAGGGGCTAAAACTTCACAAAATCCATGGTGGGTTTTCCACCTCATCATTCTTGACCCCTCAGCAGTCGTCCTACGCTGCTCACAAGGCACAGCCTCCGACCTGAACACACTGATCGCTCACAGAGAAGCAAACAAAGCTGGCACACTGATTAAATTTGCCTCAATGAAGTAAGAGTTCATTCAGCTCCAAAATATTAGGCACTAAAATCAGTTCAGACCCCTCTGACTCATATTGCACAATGTCTTCACTATACATCCTCTTCAGTCACATCTAATATACTCTGATCAGCCATGTGCTAGATACAAGCTTACTGCAAGCTTATTGAAGCGCTAATGAAGGAGGACAGTGATCATGCCATGACATACTGTACCTGCTGTTATTCAAAGCTGTAGTGTCAGTACGTGTCTAATGAATGCACTGCTATAAATAAAGCACAGACCACTGAAATGGAATCCCAGCCAGCAGCACCTGGATCCAGACTGTCTCCCATTTCAACTCATCAATATGTGAACTTCCACATACACTCTGGAAAGGATTTCAACACACCCTGTCGTGTGCAGCGTGCATGTCACTTTTCTTTCATTTCAATTCCATAGATGGAATAGTCCGATGGAAAGCGCTGATGACTGTGTGCCATTGGATCGCTGGTAGGAAATCTACTGACTTGCTTTGTGGCACCAAACAGGAGGGTGTTGTCATGGAAACCCATTTCCACTAGGTAATCTAGATTAAAAAAAATCATATTTGTCATGTGATAATTCGTCTGCCAAATGCTTACTTTGAGAGGCACTTACATCCCACAGAAAACACATAGCCTAAGCTTTGTCTCCATGACGATCGTGAATAAGAGGAGATACTGCTGTGAGAGATGGGAAATCAAAAAAGCTGAGAGGAACTGCAGAGATTGGAGTTATTCTTTTTTGGTTCCTCACTAGGAGCAACATTACATTTCACATCGCCATTTGATCCATTGTTACGGTAAAAATATTGTTCAGTGCAGCTTTATGTAAAACTTAGTAGGTTTAGATTGTGACTCAGACTTCATATCTCATGATTGACTTGGCCAGTAAGAGACGGTAATAAATGACCTACTGTGTCATGGCGTACTGAAATGAAGTTTTTATTTTTGTCATCACTAATCTTTTTATTGATTTTCTTGAAAGATTGGGATTCCATATATTTTACTACTTTATATTCCTAAGAAAGTAATAGGCTACCAAAATAAATAAATAAATAAATATGTATGTATATCTATATATAGATATATATAAAAAGAGAGAGTCTGCTGAGCATTTGTGTACATGGAATGACCTTTTAGAAAAAAAGAATTAACCTAGGTCTATGAATGATCATATGGTCGCCCGGTCCGTGGCGAACTACAGTGCTTAAAATGACAGTAGCCAGTGATCTTTTAGGACCTGTGATCCAAAAAGTGACTGGAGTAGTAGAACAGTAGCACAGCCAGAGATGCCAACAGGAACTCTTGTTGGTCAGTGGTCCGTTTGAACGGGGCTGTAGAAAACCTGTCAACCTGTAATGGCACTGTCGGATCTGTATGCATGGCATTAACTTACACAAACATGTCTACTCTACTCTCAGCACCAGACACAGCATTTAGAACCAGCACAGACCACAACACTGTCGTCAATAGAACACTGAATGGGTGGAGCCCTGGTGAGTCAGACCAGAGGATTCTTTAAATTGCACTTTATGCGTCTCTCCGTATTAAATTCAAGTGCAGCGGTGAAACTCACAGACTGAACACACGACTCAGCAAGGTCCGATGCACTGCAGTCTGTTCTCTGCTTGTTGTAGGCTATTGCAGGTGTCGGTTTGACTGTAGCACCTGTAGACTGGTCTGAAAAGAGAGCTTTGTAAGGCTGCTGCAGATGATGCGTTCCAGACATGTCCTAAAATTGGAAAATCCATTCTTCTCTTATCTAAAATGTAATCGGTCCCAAAAGTCCGAATTCCAAGTTGAAAAGTCCAAAAGGTTACTCAGCTCAGAGATGCATTTATCTGACATTTTTCCAATGTAGCAAAATACACTATATCCACCATAACTGGTTGCGGCTGGAATACCAAGTGGGGAACTGCCTCAGGGGCCCAGACCCTCAGGGGCCTGGAAGATCTCAAGTTGTATAAGTAGCAGTTACTTTGTGGTAATTTCATTCATTACAAATGTGTTTGGTAATATGTTTGGCTCATGTGTTTTTATCCATTTTATCATGAGTCCCCCCCCCCCCCATCCACAGCTGGCCCTTGGCAGCATTTAAAATAGCTGATGGCCTGTGCCCAGGCTGAACGCTGATGTGTGCAGGAACATGTCATAGAAATGCGTATTTTAGAGTATTCCTGAGTGTGTAGTGTTTAGATACTGGTGTTATTTTAGACCAGGCTGGACAAACAGAGAGAGAGAAGATGCTTTCTGAGGTTTTTGGCTAAGCAAACTGCTCCTTCTTGTTTCAGAGTGACGTAAGGGACCTGTTTGCAACAATAGAGATAAAACTGTACAATTGCACTGTTGTTATTCAGCGAAGGAGTTTGCACTGGTAAGCCCTTGATATGACCAAACTACTAAGCAGCTGCCTTGAGGCCCCTAATTAGCAAATAACAACTGGAATGTCTCTTTGGGTTTCTTTCATCATTATATTTACTATTTGTGGTTTTGGTGTATATTTGCTCTTGATACAAAGAAACATATTGTTTAAAGGGCCAACATTCTGACTTGTGGAATCTAACCCTGCAGATATTTTCAGTGGAACTGGTCTTTATATATCTTTGAGATTTCCGCATGATGCATATAAATAAATGAGTGTTTAATCATCTTATAACCCAACTAAGCTGGGTAGACATGGTGCTCGACGGGGGCCCACAGCTCCTTATTTGCCCATGTTTGCGACCAGCCTTGCCATTGTGTCGATGTGGAGGCAGTAATCTCCTCTCAGCACCATAGGTTATTGAGAAAACATGTATTTTTGCGATTTGGGTGAAATGGCTCTTTAAGATTAGCCTACTGGGATTTTTAGTTTTTAGTATTTCCTTTGTCTACACACTGAATTAATGTTCCCTACATCATTTTGTGGGAAAGTATTTAGTCTAAGTTGATGCTTTGCTGCCTAAACACCTTGCAGCCTGTATAAATGCAGGTGTAATTCGGACCGAATTGGGGTTTTCCAATTTCCAGCTGTGTCTGGAACGCAGCACCACTTCTCCACTTTCCCGCCATCACCACAGGCAGACGGCTTTTAATAAGCGGCCCTGGGCCCTGGGCCCGGGCTCTAGGACTGGGTGACTGCCAGGGTGTTGACGTATCCGTGCGGACACATGTCGTTCTCGGACACGCAGTGGGAGAACTGGGCCGGGTTGTTGCCGCCGGCCAGCCTCCGGACCCCCCGCACCGCCACGCACTGCTCCACCAGCTCCAGGAACCTGCACACCAAGAAGAAGGTGTTTTTGAACATGAACACCGACACGGGCATTTTGTACACGAAGACCTGGAAGCACCGGACCACCAGCAGGGGCGCGTTGACCACCAGGCCCGTGGAGAAGCGGGCCCACAGCCACCGGCAGCGCAGCTCCGACGCAGTCAGCTCGTAGAGCCAGATCACCGGCACGGCCAGGGCCACGAAATACACCGAGACCACGGTGTATTTCAGGTAGACGGTGGGGATCTCGTTCCGCAGCAGCATCTCCACCAGCGTGAAGCAGTCCAGCAGGTCCAGGCAGGTGCTCATGAAGCAGCTCTGGGAGTGGTGCCGCGTCGCCCCGTTCAGATCCTCGATGATGGAGTTGATGAGGCAGAAGAGCAGGGGCGCGGACAGCAGCATGATGATCTTGAAGCCGGTCACCCCGCACGGGACCTTGAGCGCGATCAGGTCCAGGATGGAGGTCTCCAGGATGAGCACCACCTTCGGAGTGCAGGCAATCACGTAGATGAGCCAGGCCAGGTAGGCGTACGTGAACTCCCCGAGGTTGCAGCCGAAGATGGAGCTCTTCTGGTGGAAGCCGCAGGCCCGCTCCCTCTTGCTCCGGGCGTTCTTCATGAAGAAAATCCCCCAGCCCGAGATCACCACCAGGTCCGTGGCTATCCACGAGCACCAGTACAGGTCGGTGAAGATGATGAGGTAGAAGTCCAGAATGCCGCCTTGGAATATGAGGAGGAGGAAGCAGAGCGCCTTGTACAGCAGGCTCCTCTTGGATCTGTGCGCCAGCAGGGGAGCGGTCTGGATGAACTCCCCCGATGTCATGATGCAGGCGGCGGCCGCGGCTGAGGAGACCAGGGGCTGGATGCTGCCGCTCTCCTCCGGGATGATGCTGCCGCTGGTGGTCTGGGTGTCCCGCCTCCTGCTCAGCGGCCCAGATTCCGGAGAAGAGGAGACGGGGGAGTCTGGGCAGTAGCTCGCTTCGGATCGGAGGTAGTCGGCCTTCGGATTGTCGTTCCCAGTTTCTGAGATCATTGTATTTGTGCGGTCGCCTCCCTTTCTGCGCTTTACTTCCTTCTTGATGCCTTTAAAGGGGGAGAGAAAGAGACATGCGCAAAGAAAGGCCTGGACCCTGATGGAATGGACCACAGCTGCTTTTGACAGCAGTGATTTTCATTGCAATAAATGATTTCCTACGTAAATTTAAAACATAATTACAAATTCCCCTCAGCAGCTCGGAGAAGCCAAAGTGCTGCTTTGAATCACCTTTTTCAGTTATCTTCTTTTCAGTAGCCTTAATCAAACATCAAAAACTTGAGTAGCCTATAAATATATGCACAGGCATAATTATAACAAACACAACAGTATTTTATATAGGCTACAAAAGACTGACAGAAAAAGAAAAGAAAGCATTTATTCAATTAATGACAAAAATATTCTTGCTAACTGGTTGTCAGATTTGTTTAAGTATTTCATCTACAGAAGTGTTGCTTGTCAGTGCTACCAGGGGCCGCATTAACCTTTGGGGCCCTAAACCCCATTCCTCCTACTCTTTGTATGTATACAGTTTTTTTCATTTGGATTTTTTTTTCACTGTTAGGAATGTAAGCACAAAACTGAAATTATGATGGTGTAGAAAGTAAAGGGCCCTCTTCAAGACAGGACCTCAAGATCAGATGTAGCAGGACTAGGGTTCCAGCGGTATACCGGTTTCACGGTGGTATGAATATTGTTGGTTATCATGTCATGTACATTTGCTTATCTACGGTAATTAAATCTACCGTATCAGTTATTTAAAAAGATTCAGCTTAAAATCAAGTTTCATGTCTGTCAGGAGAACGTTTTTGTGAAATTATAATAAAGAGTTTGACCAAAAAAACCCAAACAACTTGCTTTAATTCCCTTGGAGATTGTAACTGACACTACTAACAACAACTGTATAATACCATGAAACCATGCTATTTTCTGAGACGGTTATTATACAGTGAAAGTCTCATACCCACCTTAAGGTCCCAGTTATATCACCTGATACTTTGGCCCTAAAGAAATGTTGAATTAAATTAGCACAAAGCAGCCGACACTGAGGATCTCCTAGTGCCCCTTGAGTTTAACAAGGGTGTGACCATGCATTCTGTTCTCAAGGTGTAAGTTATGGGGTTTGATGATTTGCTGCTTGTTAAGACCAGATCTTGATGTCACCAATCACCATGAGATTATCCTGCAGCCAGAAGTGACTAAAGCGGTTTGATCTCAAACGAAATAAGGAACTGCAGCATCCATTGATTTCAGCTGGCCACTCGGGGGAAGCAGAAAAAGGTGAAAACTCATAGACTCAGTATCACAGACAGGTGTCACAGTGAATGGCCCAGGAAATAGCCGCCTATTGAAATACTTGGAGTACTTTAATACAGTGGGTGGTGATGGACCAGTGGCTAAGACACATGGCTTTAGTGTGAGAGACCTGGGTTTGATTCCGACTGCGACACGTTCAGCAATTGTAAATCACTTTGGATAAAAGCATCAGCTAAATGAGTAAAAATATAAATGACATAAATATTGATTGGTGCAGCTTTATTGAGCTGTACATTAGAACTACAGAGCAAACTGAAAGTATCAGGACTTAGCTAATCATTTGAAAGGGAGCGCACACACATCTTCAAGTTGAAATACTTTCATGTCTGTGTCAACACAAGCAAAAAGATTTAGACTCCACACAGTACCGATTGATAATAAACTTTAATTCAAGTTAAGATGAATGGCTGTGGAACATAGAAAACACACATTTCAGTATAAACATATGCATTCCAACGGAGTTCAACAGGTTGAGACCAGCTATCAGGAGTCTGTGGCTGAGCATCTCAGCAGCAAAGCTTAGTATGCATTACTCAGTGAAGCCAAAGAACAGTGAGTGGACACTTTACACGGGCATGGTGGGAAATGAAAAGTCTCTCAGCTCTTCTGTCAGTCAGCTGAAGAGTTTGTAATCACAAGCGCTGACTCTTTAACCTGGTTCTGAGGAAGGACTTGCTTTTTGGTCCCTGGATGCTGAGATTCAGAACGGTGGAAGGGAAAGATATCAAATGAAGAGGTCCATCTTTATTCTGGCTCTCTGGCTGGGCAGGTTACTGACCTTTGTAGTTAGATTGCAGAAAGACAGAATTATCTGGGAAACCTGACATAACATTTCACATTAAATGCACATAAAGACTACAATAGGTGCACAGGTGCGTGAAGAGGAAGGTTGGGGTCACTTAGCAGGTTTACCCTGAGCCCTGAACCCTGAACCAGACCCGTCAGACAGTGTATCAAGGTCCCAGGTAGTCATCTGTGTAACCCTGCAGCTGCAGACACAGAACAGCTCACAGACTGCAGTGCTTAGCAGCAGTGTGCTCAGTGCTGCCTCTGGTGGCTAGAAGATATAAAAGGTGACTACCATTTTGTTCAGTAGTCCTGCTGTAACCTGACCACTGATTTGCAGTGCTCAGGTTTTATTTAAACATTCTCCTTATGTATCTACTACTCCAAATCTTTTTTACACATTGACAAACTTGGAGTTATCATGTAGTTTTTCACAAGGTTAACAAAAGCTCATAAGCAAGCACAGGCTTTGAAATTATTACTCATCATTTCATAAGCTCAATATTGTACTGACCCATATGAGTCCATACATCCCGCTGGTGAATGTAAAAGAAGTCCTGCATCGTTACTATCCACTCTCACTTTGTTTTGTCTCCAAGGAGGGTGTCTACCATCTGGTGCGTTCAGATCTCTAACATTCTTTCCGTAACTAATTTGTGACTGAAATGTCCAAGTTACAAAGACGGCTACCAAGGATCAGGGCTAGTGGTCCCCCTGCACAGCCACAAACCCTCCGAGGGTTTTTGGGCTTTGATGGACAGCTTGTGTTCCATTTTGATTTAAAGGCCTCACAAAGGCTTTTGTTTAGATTTGTAGGGGCCACAGTAAATACTTTTCCGTACAACGTGAAATTGATTATGGTTAATGTATTTAACATCAGCACAATATATTGCCTATCAGCAGCTTTAATGAAGAAAAAAAAAAAAGAAATAAACAAAGAAGAGAAGTTCCGGCCTTCGAAAAGTTAAATCTTACAACATGCCCATCATGATTACAGTAAACGGTGCAAAGTGTGCATCCTCTGAGTCTCAGGAGTATGTATTAACAGCTGGGTAGATGACAAACAAGTCAAACTCACACCCACAAATAAACTTGACAATGTTTATTAGCAATATTTGAAGAAAGTTATAATTTCTGTTAAATCTTATATCGAGTTCTTTTTGTCATTTTATCGTTTTACCTTTTAACAAGAACCGCACAAGATAGACTCACGAGGATAGATGTCTAGAAAATGTTTAGCACGAGCGCACTGACTTGGACATTTTTTTAAACCTTTTATAAGTTCATTTATTAATATGGCCTGCTTAAAGGCACTGCCACAATACAGGGGGTGGGGAAAAGCTACTGTCCATCACTCACACAAGACAGTCCATCCTAGTGTCTAGTATACATGGGGGGTGGGGGTGGGGGTTAATAGGTGGGGCTGCTATAGGTAAATCTCATAGAAATCGTCCAGCTCCTCGTGAAACAAGTCCCACTCGTCCTCTGAATCTGTCACTTCGTCGTCAGTTCCTGCGGCGAGCAGCATGAGGAGCATCTCGCTCAGCTCAAACGTCACCATCTCCTCGTCCTCGTTGTCAAAGGAGTCGGTGCTTTCCCGCTCGTCAAAGATGTCCCACAGCGGCGTTCGCCTCGAGTTCTGGAGGTGGGGGGGGATTTGTTTATTTTTACAATCACGATGCCTGCTCAACCATTAACCATCTGATGATGACATCGTCTATTGGCCCAACACTACTTAGGATGAGTACCGATTTTCACATGGGCTTTTTATTCCCACTTATCAGAAAAGTTGTGAATGGTCAGAGCAGTACACTCAAAGTTTACAATAAACACAGCCCAATACTTGCTCTTACAAAATAAAGTGGAAAACAAAATCGAGCTAATGAAGGCAATAAATAGCTGAACTATGGTGTTTTTGCATTACAGAAGTGACTGGACTCTTTCATTCAGATTTTGTTATGCAATTCCACACAACTGTCCTATAACACTTCTAACTTTACATATTTTAACTGTCGGTGGCACTCTGCAACTGAAAATTGAGCTCTCTGACAGTTTGTGCTCAAGGTGAACTGGACTGCATTATAATACAGAGTTAAGACATCTTCTCTCTACATAGGTATCGGACTGTATTAATACAAATATACAACCTTTTAAGCGTGGTAGTATTTATTGCAGGTTTACTGTTTGCATTACACCTCAGATGTGTTTCTACACTGAACCGCACATTTTGGAGTGGCCTTTTATTGTGGCCAGCCTAAGACCTTTTATTGTGGCCAGCCTAAGGCACACCTGTGCAGTACCCATGCAGGGTCCCAGCAGATGGCAAATCAAATACTGCCATCTGCTGGTTCCCTAGTAAATCACATTAAGCCTGTGGCAAAGAACCTTGGTGTTTGGTTTGATAGTAATTTAAATTTCGAGCAGCACACCACAAAGCTTGTTCAATCATGTTTTTATCAACTTAGAAATATAGCTAAAATTCGATCTATGTTAACTTTTAAGGACACCGAGACCATTTTACACGCCTTCATCTCATCACGCCTGGATTATTGCAACAGCCTTTTCACCTGTTTAACCCAAAAATCTATTGATCGACTCCAGACTGTCCAGAACTCAGCTGCCAGGCTTTTAACCAGAACAAAGAAATATGACCACATTACTCCTATTTTAGCTTCATTACACTGGCTCCCAGTATGTTTTAGAATTGACTTTAAAATTCTATTGATCACTTTTAAAGCTCTTCATGGCCTCTCGCCTTGTTATATTTCTGACCTTTTAGTCCCATACGCACCAGCACGTACCTTGAGATCCTCGGGCAGAGGTCTGTTGTCTGTTCCAGAGTCTCGACTGAAAACTAAAGGGGACAGAGCGTTTGCTGTCAGGGCCCCGAGGCTCTGGAACAGCCTGCCCGAGGAAATCAGGTCGGCTGAGTCAGTGAACTCTTTTAAGTCCCTTCTTAAAACATACTTTTATAGGAGAGCTTTTCCCGATCTTATTTGACTCTATTTTATCCCTTTTATTTTATTGTATTTTATATTAAATTTTCATGCTCTTATCTTTTTTTTGTATTATTCTTTACACTTGTTAAAGCACTTTGTAACTTGTTTTTGAAAAGTGCTCTACAAATAAGGATTATTATTATTATTATTATCTGTCAGCATCTTGATATGCCACACCTGTGAGGTGGATGGATTATCTCGGCAAAGGAGAAGTGCTCACTGACACAGATTGTGACAGATTTCTGAACAATATTTGAGAGAAATAGGCCTTTTGTGTACATAGAGGAAGTCTTAGATCTTTGAGTTCAGCTCATGATGAATGGGGGCAAAAACAAAAATGTTGCGTTTATAATTTTGTAAAGTGTGCTTTTCTGATCTCCCTGCATGTTATTACACCTTCCACTTTCGAAATCCAGCAGAGGGAGCTACAGTTAAGGAGATGTAGTTACTGTTTTAAGGACTATAAAAGCAGACATGAGCACTGAAACTAGTGATTGAGTGACGTTTAGAGAGCAGGGCAGCTGATGGCCGGTATCAAATCAAAAAAAGTCAGGAATAATTCCATGCCGAGTACAATTTAATACAAATGTTATCTAGCCAGTAATATGTTGTTTCAGATGGAAGCTTTATTAAGAAATAGAAAAATGAGTTCTGCTGAACATTTCAGAATGTGATTCAGCTCCATTACTCTCTGTAATATTAAAATTTATTTTTAGCGCTAGCCAGTGATGGTATTAGATTAGAGCTGCTGTCACTTAAGACAGCAAATCAGAAAAAGACGATAGTGACTTGAGGACATTTAGGGCTCCAAACTAACTTTCCGGCTAACACCGCCTTCAAAAAAACTCACAATAGGGAGCACCGACATCGTTCCACAGCAGCTCACTGACGAGGCTGCTGCAGGTGTGTCCACAGACACTTTGTCTTTATCTGCCTCGAGAGCATAGGTCTCGGATTTTCGGTACCAATCCATGTAATTACAATCTTGCTCGCATTAATGTATTTTAGGAATACTTATTGGTGAATAGTATGACAGTATGTTAGGAGACAGTGTGAACAGTTACCCGATTCCTGCTGTTGGATCCATTCTGTCTTCGCTGGGGCTGTGCTTCCTCCAGCCGCCCATCAGGAAAGGCATGCTTGTAGAAGCAATTTGAGCCGAAAGGACACGTTCCACGACCCTCATCAAAGTATCGACACGGTTTACTCCTGGAGAAGAAGAAAGGGAAGCCAGAGAGGATGCACAGCAAATTAGACTGTCTCAGTGATCAGAACACCAAAACACACCTCTAGCATCACTAATCAATCTTTGAGTGATGCATGTTTCCCAGTTGAGCTTTTCTTTAATTAAATGAAGACAACATTTTCTAAAGAGTTTTAGTTTTGTTTATTTTACTGCTTCCTGCTGAGTTTCCCACCATTACAACCCCCCTAAATTTGCAAAAAAACACTATGAACTGGCTCCCTGCTTCTCTGACTTGTTGTTTCAAACAGTAGACACAGACCAGTTGGTAGAATCAGTCTCTGTGCAGCAGTGATACTGTTATTGTTTAAAGATTGTGTAGTGAATGTATGGGAGTGTATTCTCTGTGGTCCCTGAATATAGGGAACGGTCTGTGTACCCCATGCCGTCCTTGTATTTCTGGATGAGTTTCTGCTTGTCGTCCTTATCTTCCACCCAGTACTCGCTGGGGATGACAAAGTTGGATGTGATTCGACACTCTGGGCAAGACCTGCAAAAAAACAAAAAACCAACAAACAATTGGTGAGAAGGGTCCTAGAACATTGTAGTCAGGTTAAAGATTAGCTGTGTGGTCACACTGGGATTGGGCCAATGTGACATCCTGCCCATCACATTTTAATAAGAACACAACTTGTAACCTAACTCTTTAGTTAACCTGTCTATATCATTTAAGCATACCGTCTATCATTAGATTCTCAATTGTTTTCCCACAGCAGGGCTAGAGACTAACGGCGTCCTGGGGACGATACAAAATTTGTTTGGGACGAAGAGAAATATTCTGTAGGACACCTCTAGGACAAAAGGGATTATGTAGACCTAGGTGTTTATTTATTACGCTTAGCAAATGACAAACTGAACCGACCGAGCGCTGACTACAACGGAGGTCGTCTTCTCACACTGTTACTAGTCACGCCGGACTCACACAGGAGGCCGGCTGCTCACCTCTTCCCGCGGTAAAGGTCCATCTGTCCTCTCAGTGACAAACGGCTTGTTGACTTCTCAATCGCACTGTGTAGGCTAGCGTTTAGCGCCACACATCAATCTTGTCATGCAGTGAAAAACAAATCAACATTCTGATAACGCCGACTAGCGGCGAGAATCATCTCCACCCAGCTGATGAAACTCAGCATACGGCGTGATCGTGAAGTAACCTGTGCACGCTGAGTCGCTGCCAGCAGACTCGCCGGTAGAGTTTTGCATTATAAACATCTAAAACCTGAAGCACAATCTGGCTCTGTTTGGGACTGTGAGCTGCACTTCATCGGAGCTGCAGAAGTTAACATGAGGATTTGTGCTGAGATGTCTGCTTGATTGGCAGTGATGGTTTCAGTTGCTACCTCTGATGAAGTGCAGCGCACTGGTCTCATTCAGTACAGTCTGAAGGGGGGCACAGCAGAGTGTAGGTCAGGTAGACTTTTAAAAAAAGAATTCTCATTAAATAATGATGTTAGTCTATTTTCTTCTGGACATGTCAGAACACAGATATGGGAGATTCTGAACGTGCAGAAAGTTTTTAACATGAGCAGAAAAGCTGGTGAAACAAAGTCCAGGAGTTTCTAACTGAACTGAAATTAAATAATTTATCATCAAGGTAAAAATGTGCCCCAACAGATAGATTAACAAAACTGAAAAGTTTTTTTGTTTGAATTAAGCAAAATAAATATTATTTATTTTATCAATTTATAATAATTTATTATGTCACTAACAACTATAGAAGATAATAAAGTAAAGAAACAACATTTTGATTTTGGGACGCTATACGTTAACTTCAGGACGGTTCAAATTGTTTTTCAGGACGGTTCCGGGACGGAGGTCAAAAAACAACTAGTCTGGAGCCCTGTCCCACAGGTACAAACATTCTGTTCAAACTGAGTTTTTTTTATTATTTTTTTAACAAAAGGCTGACATACAACAACAGGCTTCAAAAATTATTCTGACCATAATTTCACAAACTCAAAATCTTACCGATTCTAAGATGAGCCCATAAAATACAAACTGGAACTTAAGAACTGCAGGCTACTTTGGTATTTAAATACAGTCCAAATTCACTTTTTAAAATAGAGGGGACATGAAAGTGATCTGATTAAAAGAGAAGGATTCCTTGAATATAGTACTCTGGTGTCATAGCTGACCTGACCCTGACTCCCTGAACCTGCTTATCTTAGCACTCATTAACGATTTGCCTATCCTGCATACAGCCACCGTCAGTGACCTTACTTGTGTCTAGATATGATGCCTTACAGTATTTCAAAGTAGACAAGCAGATGCTCTTCGTCTTTGGGCACACATGGATGACACGAGCTAGAACTAAGTCTATCCCTGTAATTTCTTTTCCAGACAGTTTAGAGAACTGGAACTATGAATATTTCTAACTAAATGGTTTTCATTTTAAAGCCTGCAGATCACCAACTCAATACAGCTGACATAACAAGGACTAACTGTGGAACCACTACAGATAATCGTGTTGAACTCATTAGTCCATTTGTGGATCGTGAATAGGTTACTGACCGAGGATTAATCAATGGCAATTTAGATCATTTATTTTTGTTTAATGGGTTTATCAAGAAGACATGTCAGACATTTGTTGGTTAAAGCGTCTCGGTTCTGTTTTGTGTGTCAGGTAGCTTTAACTGCAATATAATTTGGCTTCTACACTGTTTGTCACATAGACATGGCAACTTTTTCCCGTCTTTAGTTTCAATCTCTTGTCCAAAGATACAGATTTAACACTATTTAGCCTTAGAGTGATGGAGCCCAGAATCTACTGGGGACACTTCACAAATCCTAATTTGCCATGTATAAGTGACTCACTTGATGATTTTGCTCTCAAACTGCTTGGCACTCCTCCACTTGCGGATGCACTTTAGACAGTAGCAGTGGCTGCAGTTGGAGAGGATGCCGAAGCGGCGCTCACTTGGGTTGGCTTTCTCAAACACCACTTCCATACACACACCACACATCATGTCCTTGCTGCGTTGGATGGCAAAGGAAATCTCCATGTCTTTTTCATGGGCCTCGATGCATGCCTAGGAGAGGGAACAGTTAAACCAACACCACAACCTCCTCTCCAGTTCCCCAGGGTTCCGTTCCTCAGATAACCATCATCGACCAACAGCAGAGAATACAAAAGGTGTTCACTACATCTCTAATGTTACAGCTCTTGCTCTAATAAACTTCTTACAGACTAGATGGTAATGTTTTATCAGGTTGTGTTCAGACTACAGTAGCACTGCATCAGCTCCCTTATTCATTTTAAATGTGACCACTGCACTGAAGCAGCTGTGGCCATTGTAGGCACAACATTTGAAGCTGGCTCAAGTTTTGCTGTAATGCAGTGCAGCATCCTCCAGCAACGCACCGCACTGGCCTTGCCAATCAAATACATGCAAATGCACATTGCTAGTAGATGACTTTGTAATGTGAACGGCATTCATTTACTGTTTAACATGTGGTTGTTGTGATGAAAGAAAAATAACTTACCCTGATATCTCTCCAGAAGTAAATTAATTTAAACTGCTGTGCAGCGTTTTGGCAAACGGATGGACTACTTAAACTGGACTTCATGGACTATAGGCCTACCTGATATGGCTGACAAAGTGTCAACTCTCAACATCTCTTACCATTAGACTACATGAGTTATGTTTAAATGGATTCTGCCAAGTTAACCTTGGGTCTCAGTTGTTAAGATTTTTTTGAAAGAAAAAGCTCTAGTAACTGAAGCAACACACTGCAATCTGTCTGTAGTAAAGAGCTGAACGATCTGCATTTACAGTGGACTTCAAAACCTTAATTAAATACAACAAATCTGTGAATGAAGGTGGACTATATGAGCAAGAAACAATTAATCAAACACAGCCAAACAAACATAAAAATGGTGATATCCATAGAGGTCTTATAGTGAAATATAGATATTCTACAGATCCCCAAAGCCAGGGGGATGAACACATAGAAAACAACACAACTGATAAGTATGAAAGCATTCTGTGGAAAAGCTCCTATGATATTCTCAGACATTCATTGTTCACGTTGCCTTGATTTCCTTTGTAAACCTGTAGAAAATCCAGAGTATTCCAGGAGATGTCTGACAGAGGGATAGTGACTGCACACCCCAGCATGGTTGATGTGGACCCACCAGCAGGTTCTTTCTGTAACGGTTACCTTTATGTGATCGGAGCGCTGGTTGTTGTCAGTGGGGTGGAGCACCTGGAGGCCACACATGTCACAAACGTCGCCGTGGAGATAGGCGCAGTTGATTCCGTAGCGGCACTCTCCAACAGCAGCATACGGACAGAGCTGCTTCCTCAGCTCTTTGTTATCCACTGCTGCGTCACTGTCAAACTCCTCGATGAGAGGGACGGAGCTCTCCACCTTCACTGGCTCAGCTGCAACACAAGGGTGTATAACGAAAAGAAAGTTTGTCATGCTACAGATATTAACAGATAATTAAAATGCATATCAAATACGGTAACATATAAAATAAATCAATATACTACACATATTTACATGCATAGGCTACACGTACACACCCAGAACATTCTGCAGTGCATGTTTTAAATTTGTGTCGGAGGAGAATGTAAACAGCAGGTTTCATCTTCACATAAAAAAAATAAATCTGTCATTTGGGAAACATTCACGTCGGTTTTTCAGTTGGCTTAGTTCAGACCAAAGAAAAGTGACGGCTTTTAGTTGCAGTATTTGGGTTCACACTGACCGAGTGAATGGAAGGCAAACTGAGTTCTTTTCAGGTGGTCTTGGTCCAGTTGTCTGGCCGGCATTGGAGTTTGAATAAAAGTGTTCACACGCCTAAATGGACCCAGTCAGATGGACACAGGATGTTTGAATCTCAAATAAAGTACCCAGACCCCAAAAGGGTTACAGACAAAAAAAAAAAAAATTTTTTTTAAATGATGCCAGCGTGGCAAGCCGTTCATCACTACGTTTCCAACTGAGCTGAGCATCCTGGAAAACTCAGCTACCTTGAGAAACACGCGCACACACCCCGTTCAGAAAGAGGATCAGGTATGAGTCTATGTGCTGGCACCACCCCTTATTTCCATTTAATGATCAAATTATCTTGTGCCAGGTTCAACATCAAATGTTAAATTATGAAAGACAATCCCAAAAAAAAAAAGTTGTTAAAAGTGTGAACTCATGGTTAAGTTTCCGTGAATGCTGGTCACTCACCTCGTCCACAGTACGGCTGTCCTGGAACAAACTCAGCAGCGTTGACCCAGTCTTGTGCCCCTGGACCAGGTGTTGGCCCACTGGGTTCTGGGTCTGATGGGACAGGCAGCGAGACAGAGGGCAGCGGCAGCGTCTGGGGGGCTGGCAGCTCCTCGTTCTTTGCCGGTTTGCAGTGTTCAAACCTGAGAAAGTGCAGAGGGCCAGGATGGTTACATCAGGATGTTTTTGTGGTGAAAGAAGGCAGTCATGGTGATGCGGTTGATGTGGTGTTCAAAGGTGAGGTAGCTGTCAAAGATGACTCAGAGGTTGTTGATCTGTGGGGCTAGAGATGAGGTGGAGTTTTGATGGGGAGACTGAAGTTGTTGGTGTTTTTTGTGAGTAATTTGGGGTCGATGATGAAAATGTCAGATTTATTGTAAGTGAATTGGAAGCTGGTTTGCATCCAGGTTTGTCGGTGAGGCAATTGGTCAGAGTGGTAGAGGTAAGTGTAGGGATGGATTTGGTGGAAATGTAGATCTGGACGTCATCGGCGTAGCAGTGGAAGTGGAGACCATATTGACGTATGATATTTCAGAGTGGCTGGATGTACATGATGAACAGGAGGGGACCAAACACCGACCCTTAGGGGGTGCCTTGTGACAAAGGAGCGGTGGAAGAGGTGCAGTTGTTGATGCTGATGAACTGTTGTCTCTTGGTGAGATAAGACTGGAGCCAGGAGAGTGCGGTACTTGTGATGTTTGGGTAGGTTTCCAGTCAGGAAAGAAGAACGTAATGGTTAATGGTGTCGAAGGCTGCACTGAGGTCGAGCATGATGAGAATGTTAAGGTGGACAGATGAGAGGAGGTGGTCATTGGTGACTTTGAGAAGGGCTATGTCAGTGCTGTGTTGTAAATGCTCCATATTTGTATAGCGCGCCTTTCTAGTCTTTGACCACTCAAAAGCGCTTTTACACTAAATTGCATGCACACACAGTCATACACTGAGCCTAGGTGCTCAAACAGAAACTAACATTCACACACATTCATTCACTCACTCGCTCGCTCACTCACTGGCGGAACAGCCACCAGAGGCAATTCGGGGTTCAGTATCTTGCCCAATATGTGCAGCCTGGAGGAGCCGGGAATTGAACCGATTTCTAACGATTAACGGGCAACCCGCTCTACCTCCTGAGTCAAAGCCACCTCTTGTAAGCAGAATCCAGATTTAAAATGGTTTGAACTGGTTGTTAGATACAGTTAGGTAGATAATGGCAGTGATAAGGGGAGTGGAAGCAGATAGTTTGAAGGCGAGATGTTTAAATGACAGAACAGCTGGGGTGGAGATAATGGTTATTTTAATGTCCTTTCTGTAAACAGTGGCCCCCCCATTTTCAGGTGATGATGTTTTGGGATTTGTTGGGAGGATGGAGATCGAAGAGATTTACGTGTGAACTGTTGCGATGACATGGTAAGGAAATACGTTGAGACCACAGTGAGGAGATGCAGTTTGTTGTTGTGAAGTGGTATAAAAATAGGCAAGCAGAGCATTTGTGTGGAGGAAGAAGTAGTGATATGTGAGGTCACAAGGTGAGGGTAATTGAACAGGAAACTTCCAAGGTGGGCGGAGAAGACTTTAGGGAATGTGTTTAGGGATGTGGTGTAGTCATGCGATAGCATGTTGTAAGTTGGCTGCTAAAAGACAAGCTACCTAGTCTGTTTGGGTGCACTTCATCGGTCCTATAAAAAGAAAACGGTGTGTTGTGAGCATTGCAGGTGGACTGGAGTCAGGTGTTGATGCTAAGAAGTCTGCTTATGCGCTCGGAGTCATGGGACAGCATTGGTAAGGGACCACTGATAACAATAAAAAAAAAAATAAATAAAAAAAGACTAAACAAAGACTTGCCAAGACAGCTTTTTAAAAGGCTAAAAAGTTCATTAAAATCCTTTTTTGTCCGTTCAGATTCCCAACGAGCCGTGTCATTATGGCCAATACGAACAAGCACCCGGTTTATGGAGGATTGGAGGGAGTCAGTGCAGCAGTTAGAGTAGTTTATTTAGGATAGGATAATTACACACAATAACTTTCCGAAGATCCGAAATGCCGGCGCCGTATGCATCTGCGCAAGCCTTGGAGTTGTAAATGGATTCAGACAATTTTTTGATCAGAGTTCTGAATGGAGTAGCAGACGAGTCTGGTGGGTCAAAACAGGATTGCCATGTTGGTGGCAGTGACACAGACAGGACAATCACAGAGGTGAAGGAGACGACAGAGCAGACACTGAAATTTCTCATCGATATAGCACACATGCCAGGGGTAGGCAGATAAACAGAGGACTTGGGCAAAGACGAAGAGCACCCAGTCGTCAACCTAGTTCAGACACTGACATTTCAGACACAGAATGGTTTCATGGCCCAGGTCTCGTTCTCCTTTCCGACCCGCCAGTGGTGTAAGACAAAGTTTTGTTTACTTTCATAGTATGTTACTCATATTGTATTACAAGTAGGCTATGTGCAACAGATGGCTGAAATGAAAGTAACAAGCAACATCAAGCATCAAGTCAGGTCAACACGAGCCTCCAGAACAGCTTCAGGGCTCCTTGCCAAGTCATTTTGTTCATACTGGAGGGAGGAACACCACCGTATTTTTGAGATGCTATCAAAATAGTTCTGCCAGAAGGAAAACAATAATGGGCAGAAAAAGAACATGTGGGTTAGGTTGCAGGGAGAGCCATGACATTTATCACACTATCAGTGACAGTGGGATAGATCCGTGACAGACGTGCTTTGGAGAAATGAATGGGGTGCGGAGGGAAATGTAGGAAACAATGATTTTCCGCAGTGTCTAACTTTGAAATAGCGAAAGAGATGGGACGGTGGAAGCTGAAATTCACTCGACAGGTCTGCAAAGCTACGAAAAGTACCATTCCTATAGAGATCTTTGAAAGTTTTGAGACCTTTGTCGTGCCAGATAGAGAATGTGGGATCACATAGTGCAGGTTGAAATTAGTGATTTTTCAGTAAAGGAGCTAAAGCAGACGCGGAATCAAAATTAAAAGTCTTCCTAAACTGGTACCAGATTTTTAGAGTTTATACCTCACTTCCTGTGTCCCCTTAGTGGAGCTACATAGCACTTGGCGCTATGAATATAAAATCGGTATTGGCGTGTAGATGTCTTCGGGGTGGGAGAGTTATCAAGCACGTAAAGTTTGGTTCAGATGTGAGCATGTACACTGAAGTTACAACAACTTCCTGTGTCAAGGCGAAGAGTTGATCTTTGACGCCACAGACACGCCCATTGACGAAAACTCACACATAGCACAACTTTTCATCGTCAATGCCTTTAGAAGGCACAGCAGAAATTTGAGGTCGATCCGACTAAACGCCTAGGAGGAGTTCGTTAAAGTACGGAGTGTGTAAAACATCCAAAAATGGCTGTAAAATTCAAAATTCTTGAGGCTTTTTTGTGCGTCTGGACATGATACATGTCCCCAGAAAAATTTGTGCATGTAGGTTGAACGGGGACGAGGGGCTAATTTTTTCCAATTTTCTAGGTGGCGCTAGCGAGTCATTTTGCCACGCCCATGCGCGAAACCCATAAAATACAACATTTTTCACCACTTCTGACATGTGTGCAAAGTTTGGTGAGTTTTCGGGTATGTTTAGGCCCCCAAAATTGAGCGGTTCGTGCTCGGGCCCTAATAAGATTTTATGAATGTGTGATGCCCAGTAATAAACTGGAAGTTTGGGAGAGATAGGCCGGCACTGAGTTTACATCTCTGAAGCATTGGCTTACTTATTCTGGGGGCCATGCCGCACCACAAAAAGCTAGAAATGTCTCGATCAATTATCTTAAAAAAACGTTTTGATAAGAATAGAGGGAGACATTGGAATAAAAAGAGGAACTTAGGCAGGATATTCATTTTAACTGTGTTAATTCTTCCTATATGCGATAGAGGTAAACATCTCCATCTATGAAGGTCAGATTTGATTTTGGACATTAATGGGGAGAAGTTGGCAGAGAAGAGTGAAGTTAGAGTCCTGGTTAGAGACTTGGGCTGGAAACATACAGTAATAAATCATCCACATAAAGAGATAGTTTAAATTCCATTCCCAAACGTGATATCCCAGTGAAAGAGGAGGAGGACCTCAGATAAACTGATAAGGGCTCTATAGCTAACGCAAAAAGTAAATGAGACAAGGGACAACCCTGTCAAGTGCCACGGGATAAAGTAAAATAAATTGACTGAATACCATTGGTGGAGATACTAGCTGGGATGTGTAAAGAAGGCGTATCCATGAAATAAATGCATCACCCAATCCAAATTTATGTAATACAGCAAGCAGGAAGTCCCATTCAACCCTGTCGAACGCTTTTTCAGCGTCAACTGAGATCACCACTTCAGGGATTATGGTGGAGTGTTTGGAATAGATAATGTTTATAAGGGTGAGGACATTGTAAAATAGCAGACGCCCCTTTATAAATCCAGTTTGTTCTTCTGAAACCATGATAGGAAGAATTCTTTCCAAGCGACAAGCCAAAGCCTTTTTGTCTTTTTTTTAAAAGCAGAGTTCTAGAAGGCTTGTCGTAAAGTGCGAGGAAGAGAGCCATCCTGCAGAAATTCCTTATATACAGAATGCAATAAAGGCGACTATTTAGATTTAAATCTTTAAAAAAAAAAAAATTCTACTGGGAATCCATCAGGGCCAGATGCTTTATTGTTTTGCATGCTATTTATGGCTAGGTTGATTTCCTCTAAAGGTCAAAGATGAATCAAGATCTTTAGCAACATCTGGGTTAATGGTAGGGAAGTTGAGACTGCTTAAGAAAGCATTCATGTCAGGAGTCCCAGATGGAAATTCAGACGTATACAGGGAGGAATAGAATGAGCGAAAGACTGAGTTAATGGTATTAGGGTCTGTATGAAGTATGCCAGACGAATCTTTTATTTGAGGGATCATGCGCAAGGATGCCTGGCGATGTAGTTGGTGGGCCAAGAGTCTGCTCACCTTATCACCATGTTCATAATATGCAGAACGCAAACGTAGAAGAAGGTGCTCTGCATCAGTAGTTGTAATGAGGTCAAATTCAGACCGTAATTCAACACGATCTTTAAGTAAAGCGTAAGAGGGGTCGGTGGCCAGTTGTCTATTATCCATTTTGTCAATCTTAATCGATAGCTCTTGAAGTTTGGTTGTGTGCGTTT